CAGACACAGACACACACACAGACACAGACACAGACAGACACAGACACAGACACAGACACACACACAGAGACAGAGACAGACACAGACACAGACACAGACACAGACACAGACATAGACACACACACACACACACACACACACACACACACACACACACACACACACACACACACACACACACACACACACACACACACACTGTCCCTCTTTGTTTCTTGTCTAACGTCCGGACTTTGCTTCACTCTCTGTATTTGTGTTGTTTGTTGTGTTGTCTCGTCGAAGGTATGTCTCGCTTTTTTCTTTTTGTTATACTGTACATAATTTCCATGTATTTTTGTTTAGCCCTAAATAATAAAGCAGTCGTCTTTTAAGGACTTAACAAAATTGTTGATTTGCCAAAAACAGATTAGTTGTTAAATTAATGATGTATAAATGGGAAAAAAGTTCACATTTCAGTTTTTTCTGCACAAAATTCTCAATCAGAAATCACAATGTTTTTCAGAAGAATTTGTTATTCACTTTTTGTCGACCGTCTCATCGGGGTTGTTCTGTTCCTTGGCGACGTACGCTTTCACCTCAAAGTCCACACCACAGGCCTGGAATCACGAACCCATCAGCAAAACAACAACAACAACACAATTCCCTTCATTGGTTCTGCTTTCTTACCTTTCCTTGGTCGTCAGGGCCCGGCTGCAGCGACACGGAGCACGGCAGGTTGTTGGGAATCTGGAAACATAAATGAATTAAAGCTACCTCAAGATTAAGATGAAGAGATCCTTAATTCGTCTCACAGCAGGGAAAATGTCACTGTTGCATCACAAGTTACAGAACAGTCGAAATGAGGAGCACACAGCACAAGATAAATGAACTATGGCTCTATGCTAATTAAAATAAAACTAAATCTCTAACTCTAGCATCAAAGACACAAGTATAACATCTCTATCTTTAACATAATAAGTTATTCACACATTCTAAATTTGGAAAAATAAGAAGCATGTATAAAGAACTGTGTAATCTAGTGCAGTGTACAGTACAAACATGGCCGCTCTGTGACCTGAAGGGCTGTTGGTGATTATCGTTAGCTAACTATTACTAATAACTATTGTTAGCTTTTTAGAATGATCAATTTTATTTTGTATTTTTGCTGCTGCTGGACACCCGACTTTCTCCTATGGATCAATAAAGTATCTATCTATCTATCTATCTGTATCTGTCTATCTGTATCTGTCTATCTGTATCTATCTCTCTATCCATCTCTCTGTATTTAACATTTTATATTTTAAAAACAAAATAAATAGTAATTTTATTTTTAAGCATGTTCTGAAATCCAAAATCCATCCAGACTGCTAAGGAAATATGTAGTTTAGCATAAGTGTGAGTGTAGCACACGAGCCCAGGCGATAAGGCTAGCACCATATAGCTTCTTTTTACACTTTCTTGAATTGTCCGTCACAATCTTCACACTGTTTTGTCTTCTTCGCCCTCTGTCTGCTTTGTTTTCCTATATTTGGCCTTTTTAATATTTATTACTATAAAGAAGTATGGTTTGAAATTGCTAACTGGAGGAAGAAAAATAGATATTTCCTCAGATTTCCCCAAAAATAGTGTTTTCAAATACACTAAAACTACAAGGTTAAAATACCTCGAAGGTGAAGGGGTAGGCGTTCTCCCCGGCTTTGGTCAGCAGGGTCTCGTGCATGGGGGTCTGAGCCGGCTTGGTGGTCTGGGGGTAGATCTGGAAGAACGAGATCCAGATGTCTTTTCTGAAGCAGAGTCCCATCACGTCCAAGTCATCGGTGCCATAACGGAACGCACAGGCGAGCTGGACGAACACTGAGGAACACACACAACAGGTCACAGATAAGATTAGATCAGATATGAGATCCTATATTTGTTCCAGAGTGGGGAAATTTCAGTGTTGCAGCGCACAGACTGGACAGTAGTAAGAGCACACAAAATATATACAATGTGAGAAGCTGCTATGTTTCTTAGCTACTGTAAATGCTTCAATATCAATCTTTCAAAATATAACTATATGTATTTAGTGTGAGTGTTTCGTTATTTACTCATAAATAGTAGAAAATAACAGACAAATTAGATAAAGTGACATTCAGCGGACATTCTGAAATGTACTTTTTACTTTTTACAACTGTAGATCCATTGACGTCCATCGTCTCCATGTTTGTCCCTGTCGAGTTTTTCAGTTCTGGATTTTTGTGCTTTTTGTCACTCTGGATTTGGATGTTATTAAATTATATTTGAATTTCAGTCCTACATTTTGGGTTCCCTTTTATTTAATTTCCCCGCATGGCACATTTATTCCTTGATGAACATGGATCATTCGCCCCCATGGGCCGATAAGTTCTGTGTGTTTTTTTAATCGTTGAATTTCCTGTGTTTTAACTATTTGATTCTCTGATCTGTGTTGGTGAATCGACAGCTTTGTAAAGTCCAACGAGATGATACTGTTGTGATTCAGGGCGATACAAGAATACATTGGACTTAACTGATTAGGCACAAATGCACATTCATTTTATGGTTGGACTCAACTTTTCACAAAACACAGTAAACATGGATTCATTGAGGGTTTTGCCAAAAGTGTAAACGTAATAAATAATAATGATAATAATAATAATAACAATAATAGTATTAATTAAAATACAATAATAATGATATTGATAATAACAATGGCCTTCACTTGCTTTTCAGACTTGACAATGTCTCTTAAATATCTCTTCATTTAAGTAAGTAAGTAATGTTAATTTATATAGCCCATTTTCACAGACCCTTGTTTACCCAAAGTGTTTTAAAATTTCCGATATTTTTCCATTCTCTCCACACCCGGTGATGACAGAAGCGAGACCAAATGTGTCAGAGTAAGAAGGACTGGTACCTTTCTTGTCTCCGAGCTCCGCAGGGTCTATCTTCACCACTCCACCTTTAAAACATCACTCATTATCACTCACACACTTCTGATTTATTCACTGACTTTAGTGTGAATGTGGCCCAGCACTTACAGACTTCATCCACGGACGTTGTGTGGTCCACATAGTCCCGCTTCCCCAGGTAGAGCGTGAGCTGCGGGTCGAGAACATACAATGATTTATAAGATAATCCAGTCTAATATTCATCATTTACTAAGTATCATTCGTAAATACTGATTACAAACTCACCTGTCCATTCTTGCTGGTTTTCTTGAAAACCCTGAAAGCAAAACAACATCTTGGTATAATGATTGTTTGATGGGAACAAGACACTACTAAAATATTCTTCCAAAAAAACAATACATGGAATTCTTTGGAAAATTATTCATTATTTAGTTATTTTTAACTCATTGACTGCCATTGACGTATTTGTCTGAGACCCTCTATTCGACTGGGGATTACAGGACAATAAAAATAGCTAGAAAGAATCTTATTTTATCTCATCAAAGTAGACAATCCAGTCTTTCAGAATCTGGTTTCATATTTCCCATAGTCTTAGGAAATTATATTCTGTGGGTCTTTAAAATCAGTGAAATCATCAAAAACGGCTGGCAGTCAATATCAGTAATTTGAGTAGTATGGTTCAAGTATTGCTAAATCAGGGGTCTCAAACTTGTCGCATGTGAACCTTTTAAAGCTAATTTGTACGCATTTATACAAGCATAAACTTGTAACCATGAACGCAATAAGTGATAGTTAGAAGTAAACAGTTTTCAGTCCACAACTCCAATCTTCATTGTCTTTGCACCAGTTTTGTTTCAATCCAAGCAGCTGCATTTTTGTTTAAGGAAACATAGGAAGAGGCCGGATCTAGAATGTCTGGATTTGAATTGTTATTTTTTTCATCCATTCATTGAACGATTAGAACCATCAAACTTTTGGAAATTCGAAGGATCAGTACAAAGATGTGTTGCTCTTATTTCCAGTCAAGTTCAACTCTAGGATGAATCAGAACGTGTCCAAAAACAAAACAAAGTGAATGGGATTTTATTTGTCTTCTGTCTGCAACTTTTTACTTTTCCCTAAATCTCATTTTCACATATCATTTTCACTTGATGAAACACAAAAGTCATGAAACAATACATTAAAAACCAACCTCCAGTACGATGCAATTTGTCGCTTTTGTTCTTGATGCTTCCAATAAAGATTATAAAAAATAAAATCAGAAAAAAATAAAAGTAAAAACCCAACCCCAGAAACCAGCGATATACAGTACCTTTCTATATATTTAAGTTATTCTCAAAATCTTCTTAAATCAAGCAATAGGCCTAGCATTTTTTCTCCTCAAACGTTAAAATATCTATCTTTTTTAAGTGAAATTTGGTTGTGCAAAGTATTGTCAAACATGGATTGCAAACATGTTACAGACGACATCCCATAATGCCGCTGGTGTTTGCTGGTTCGAGTCTTGGCAGCAGACGGAGCAGTAATCTCTTTTGTCTTGATCCATTTAGTGTGGATCTATGTGTGGAGCGACTTTAATCTTTTGTGTGACCCTGGGTTTGAATCCAGGTCGGAACAGAGCCATTATGATTGACTTTGCATGTTCTCCCCGTGTCTGTGTGAGATTCAGTGCATTCGTCTCACCCTGCGCATGGACTATTCCAACCACTCCCATCGGGTAGAAGGCTACGGTCCATCAGGACTAGAACCTCCCGCCATAAGAACAGTTTCTTTCCCTCTGCTGTTGGACTCTTGAACACTTCATAATCCATCACTGACCTCTGACCTCTGACCTTATGACCGTCACTTTATGCTACTGTCACTCTGGCACTCTACCGCACTCTTAACAGTCTGTTGTATATAGTAAACTGAAGACATTTATGTGGATTTTTATTATTATTATTATTCTGCCTTAACTTGTTTGCACCGAGAGCCAAAGCGATTTCCTGTTACTCACATGGCAATAAAAGTATTCTGATTCTGATTCTGTAACAGCCTCCTCACTGGTCTCTCCAAACAGGCTGTAAAACTACTGCAGTATTTTCAAATCGCTGCAGCTCGAGTCCTGACTAGAACCAGGAAGTACAGTCACATTAGTCCAGTTCTCAGGTCTCTGCACTGGCTTTGTGTGGCTCAGAGAATAGAATGGTGTCCTGCTGGGGACTCTGAGGAGCACAGGGACTGGCCTCCTTCCTACTTATAGATAAAGTCTTGTGTGCCTTGATAAGTACTTACTTGGCCATGACTTCAGCAGCTGATGTACTTTCCTGTAGAAAATAAAATAAGTATTATCAAAAGGCCATACTTTCAGATTCAAAGTTCAATTTGAATTCATTTGTTTGAGTTTTAGTCCGGACTTTGAGGCTTTGAGGTTCCTATATCACCACCTGAGTTGTGTAGAATAAGTTGCAGAGGTATTTTTGTCGACCAAAACAAACAACAAATCATCAAAATTACACAATAGTTTAGTGAAAATGTACTGGCTCTTTTCCAGAATCAATGCTCTCGTGCAGAAATACAGCATTTCTGAAACCAACCCAGTAGAACCACGCCCCAGACTCTCAACCACTTTAAAGATCATTCCAAATAACGTAAAACTACTGATTTTTTTGCGCTGTACAATGAGTCATGTCGCAGTTAGCCCCGTTTCAGACAGAGCAGCTTGGGACACGTCGATCTGAGAACATCTAAAGGGATAAAAGACATCCCCAAGTCCTGACCACAGATGACCACAGATGATTAGGCCCTAAATCCACTGCGGAGCCCTCTATAGCTCTTTAATGCGGATCGGCACGGCAAAAGGTTACACCACCAAAGCACCTCTTTAATTGTTGCTCCAAGATTTCTCAAGGATTCAGTGCGGCGGATTTACACATTGACGACACACAATGGCACCGAACAAAGATTTTTTTTTTTCTTCCAATATGTGGCTTGTTTTTATTGGCAAAAAGACAATGAAAATATGTGAAAAGATGCAGTTAACATACAATACAGAAGTCCCTCGCCTTGACATTGCCACTGGCAGTAATGTTTGCTGGGAAATGAGTTAAACCAACGGGAAGAGAGCTCATCTGTCATTGATGTGTGTGAATTAGAAAAAATCTGTCTCTAATTTTCAATTTCTAACTAACCTTCAGTTTGAGTTTGACCGATATTCAAAAAAAAAAGACCGAAATTGTCAAAAAGGTATCAGCCCTTTTTAAATCAATTTTTTGTGGTTTGAAAGTTATGCACAGCCTTTGAATTAATTTAATGAGTTTACTAGTTTATGCGCTGTTGTTTTTAAGAAAGAGAACATTTTTTAAAGTATTTTTTTTCAGCTTTTGACCGATTTCACCCTCCCACTATCTGAGTAGCTTTGAGGTCACTATATTGCCATCCAAGTGGTTAAAACTGTGATGTAAAATAAGTTGCTACAGTCTTCTTTTGAAATGAATACAAATCTCCAGCTAGATACTGAGATATGGCTTGAGTAAGGAGTTCTAGTGTTTTGAACAAGAAGTCAATTTTTAAGTCTCCTTTCTAGTATTAAGCTGTGAGATACTACTGCTATTGGACTGATATTTACAAAGAACAAACCATTGAGTATTTATTTAGGCTGTAAACACACATATTAATTAGTAACTGACTTTATAAGACTGGCCATAGATAAGAACGAGGATGAATGCTTTGATTCAGCACCATGGACAGCACCAGCGGGCCTCCATACATATGCACTGTTATCTATGGGCTGTAACTTTACACGCAAAAATATATACTCAAATCTAAAATGTTTATAGTTCTGCAGATGAGATATGATACCAGTGAATAATTCCCTTGTTCACCTTGTATCCATGGCATTACTGTTCATTGGTCTAATCTGCTGATCTTAAATCTACAGCACATGGGAGGGAGGTTATCTCACGGAATCTGTCAAGCTTGTATGTATAAAACATCCCGTATGACACAAATCCAACATTAAATATTCAAGTATCAAACAATCTATAAGCACATAGAATGAAAAAAATATATATATACAAATAATCAAAACAATTTTAAGGAGTGCTGCAGTCCATGATATATGATTAAGAAAGTGTCAGGCAACAGGAGATGCCTTTTCGTTTGTGTGATTTGTTGTGTATTGTCATTTCCACAATTGAAATGGATAAGAAAGAAAATGATGCCAGGTCCGAAGAAAAGGAAAAAATAAATGCTTGATCATTCTCCTGTATATTATCATGAAAGAAAGTCTATTTATTTTAACCTTTTTGCATGTGTTTTGTCATTCAGATAGAAAAAGTTTAAGCCATAGTCTTCTACATCGGCAAGGTCAAAGTAAAAAGGAACCATCTGAAGATCAAAATGGGTTTAGAGCAGATATTAGTCTGGTTTCAAGCATTTGTTCATTGATATTTTGTGTTTTGTTTAATTTTTTACTGTAATTGTGAAAATAAAGCATATATCTCATATACCAGGAACGCTTTTAACTTGACATGAATGAAATGAACAGCGATTAGAGGGATTAGAACCACAACTGTTTACACTCAGCTGGGACCAGAAGTCTCAGAAACACACATGACTACATTTATTAAAAATACCCACTTTGATGGACAAAAACAGCGTGTATTTTAAAGCTGGGGAACCTCACTTTTTCTTTTTGCTCTGATAATACTTGAGCAAAAGTGTCAAAAGAAATTGTCTTGTAAAGTTTTGTGAACGAATCCGACCACATCATGTTGCTTTTATCTAATAATAAAACATGTTAGACTTTGCACATTTATAAGAAAGAGCCCTGTGAGTCACTAAATGAGGGTTTGGGCTGAGATCTGAGTCAATGGAGGGTGGTCCTCTCTTTTGCACTGGTCTATAGATGTGACAGAGGCAAAAACAAACACATGTGAAAACTGGGGAAAGGAACTAGTTTCATTGGTTTTTGTTGTTGACCACAGTTAGTTCTTTTAGTTTGTTTTTTTGTGGTTTGAAAGTTAGGTACCCCAACTTTAATAATTAACATCAATGCAATGAGACCTGTTAGCAGCTCCAGCAGTCTTATCATACTATCCAGACCAGTGTAGTCATGGCTACGACACACACAGTAATAATTTAGGAGATAAAAGTAATGCAGATTCTTACCTGTGTTAGGGCTGGGGCTGTGTAATAGATGTGTTGGCTGCGTCCCTCGTCGTGCTTTTATACTCCGTGAGGTCCCCTATGATAATCCTATTAACCAATTAGTGTGCCACCTTAAAAAGAAACTGGTCCTAAATCAGGAGCAGAGGCAGTCCCCTGCTGGCTCCTGTAGTAGTGAAGTAATCCCTGTATACTGAGAAATCACAGATGCTTCGTAAGTACGCCCACACACGACACAAACAATTCCAGAGTATTGAGAGAAATACATGCTACAGGACAAAACGGTTTCCTGCGGATAACTTTCTAAACTAAAATTGGACTGAGACAGTCTGTTTAGAGAGAGGGGCCGTCGGTTGTTGTACCGTATTGAATCCATCTTAAAGCATCTTAAAGCATCTAACTTTGAACTTCTATAAAATAAACAATCCATGAGGAGGTGGTTTCAGCTTGAAGTCCGTTTGATGAGCTGTGCTCTGCTTTGCTTTGCTTTTAAACGTTGGCTTGATTGACACGGCTGCAGGGAGTTGATGAGTTGATTATGACATGAGTAAGGCGTGGTCCAGCCTGGTGTAATAACGTAGGTAGTCTACCATCCTGAACCTCCACTTAAGCTTCATCACGGGGAAACAAGCCGGTCAAAACTGAAAGATGAAGGCACTCATTGGACTCTTGAACTCTCATAACCTGTCCCCCTGCCCTTTATAAGTCATTTTACTGCCCGTTATAAGTCATTTTACTGCCCGTTATAAGTCATTTTACTGCCCGTTATAAGTCATTTTACTGCCCGTTATAAGTCACCTTAATGCCCATCATATCGTCACTTTATTGCTGTCACCTTATTGCACTGCCTACTGCAATATTGTGTGCACTATGTGCACTTGTTTATTGTATATAGTAATTGTATTTGTAATCGTAATAATTCTATTTTAAATTGTATTCCTTAGAAGTGTATGCTGATTTTTATTATGCTTTACTCTATTCTCTATTCTTTACCTCTCTTTCTGACTGTTGCACCGAGCCAAAGCAATATCCTAGTCTGTGACTTTCTGTTACTTACATGGCAATAAAAATGATTCTGATTCTGAAAACGACCATAACAGGAGCTAAACCAGGATTAAACCAGGGTTGACGATGGGGGCGGAGCTTGTGAACATATGTCTTCACCCTGAGTTGACTCCCAGTTTTTCTCCGCTGCTTTTCCATGTGTAGTAGTAATCTTTATTTATTAGATTATTTTTTGGGAGTGGGGGTGCCAAAGTGGGGGGTGCCATGTGTGGCTGAAGCATAGTGAACGTGTGTCCATGCCTCCACCAATGCATGTCCATGTGTCAGCGTTGTGACCGCACCCAAGAGGGTTCAACTCCACCTCCTGGGCGGGGCCTTTCTGAGTAGAGTTTGCATGTTCCCCTGTGTCTGCTTAGGTTTCTTCCAGGTGCTCCGGTTTCCCCTACCACTAAAAAACATAGAGTGGTCCTCTCTTTTTCACTTTCTGTCCGAAAAAGCTGATCTAAAGATATGAATGAGGCTAAAATACCTGCATGTGAAAACTACTTAAACTGTTCCAGAGTTTAAATCCAGAGACTATCGTTGGATGGACTTTATCATTAAGTTACATTTTGGGGTTGGAAAGTTAGAGAACCCAGCTTTAATAGTGAACTCACAAATGATCAAAAACACTCCTCGACTCTTGCATTATGGGGCGACAGTAGCTCAGTTGGTAGAGCACATTGCCTGAAGCCCCCGCTGAAAGAGCCATCATTTAAATTAATAGATCCACAAACAGATCTTGCCTTTGTGAACAAATATATTGCTCTTGACAAAAGTGTAAGTTTCTTCCATTTTTCCTCCTCCTGTAAATTCAACAGCTCTGATTGTGAATCTGAATTTGGAGCTCTTTCTTATCAAAAACACTTCCCGGCGTGTCTGTGATTTGTTTATTTCTAGTAGGTAAGTAGTAGGATTGTACAACTATGATTTAAGTGTGTTCTTTATTTGGTGCTGAGGGAGTTCCATATTATTCTTAGTGAAGCCACTTCTCGGAATTAGAGTCCGTCTGATCCCTGCAGATTAAGAGCTGGTCCACGCACAACAGGAAAGCTATTCTGAACTCATTAAACCTCAAACGTGAGAGGTTATAATAGGGATTGCCTCAAAATTCCCCTCTGACCTTTTTAAATCTGCAGTCACTCAGAATCCAACCGCGATGATGGTGAGATTAAGGTAAGTCGGCGTAAGGAGAGGTGTGTGCGTGGTACAGGAGAGGAGCTGAAGTCAGAATTTACGCAATGATAAAATAAGTGATGTTAATGCTTATGTTTGAAATGCCTTTTGTGATTTTAATGTTTAAGTGTAAGTGCCTTTTGTGGTTTAGTTATTCAAGACATATATACGATTATTTTTATTTTTTTAACAGAATAAACACATATAAAGACAAAACAAAAAAGGACAATAATCTTAAAATAAAATATTAGTGAGTTGTGTCTTGTGTTATTTTGTGCATGAAAAGAGCTCTACCAATAAAGATTGATTGATAAATGAATATAGACAATAAAAATCCTTTTCAAGATGGGATCAAACAAGACAAACTGTGAAATTCTCTGTCTTTTTAAGTTATTTTCATCGTGTGGTAACATTTGAAAGTACTATAATGTTGTAGAAATAATGTATTGTTATAATGTTTCAGGGCCTACAGGTGTAAATAAGCACTGCTGCTATAACCTGGTACAATAGATCTCTCCTCTTGGCTAATGTTCACTGTACACTGTCCCTGAAAGACGTAAAAATCATACCGTACCAAAAAATGCAGCTGATTGTGAAACATTAAGGTTAAGGTACACTTTATCCTCTGCATTTGACCAAAACCACAAGAGCTGCTGTCAGGAGGAGAGTTCGTGGAAAGTTGGCTTGTTCGGGACCAGAGCTGGAGGATTTGACTTATTGTGCATATTCTTAAGCGGTAGCACGCAAAGGAAGCCTTCCCAGACACAGGGAGAACATGCAAACATGTAAAGAGTTTGCATGACATAGATTCGAACCCGGGACCTTGTTGTTAGTGAGAAAAGATATCACTGTGGAAATGACATTGGTATTGATTATCGAGACCGTTGTGTTCAAAGACAATATTCTGATTTAAAAAAACACACACACACACAAAGAAAAGAGTAACATTAACATTAACTGAAGCTCAGCATAAATACAAAGTCAAATTTAAAGATGTTTCATGGATCATTCTGATGTGAGTGACACATGGAACAGACTGAGAGCATCGACCTGCACTGACCGGAGCTGGACGCTCTGCAGACCACAGGTCAGAGTCAGGCCATCATGTGGAACTGAAGTCGCCCAGATTACACCGCTGTAATAACTTTATTAGGAAGATTAGGATGAATTAGGATTATTTGGCCCAATTTGGGGAAATTTTAGTGTTGCATCACAAGTGATGAAGTAGTAAGTCTATACTTAAATCAAATCTCTTTAGCATAAAAAAGTAACAAATTATAAATGCTTTAGTGCTAATAAATATATGCTTGTATAATAGTGCAAGAATATAGAATATTCAAGTAATAAGTCACCATCACTTCCAGCCCCAGGACAAAAATGTCACTGAATGTTTGCAATAACATGAGGCTCAATGGTTCATTCAAGGGTTAATAAATATCTGAAAAGTGTTCTGACTTCACAAAAAGGAACATCCAGGTTAAACAGTGCTGTTTGTCTTCACACTTCTCTTCTTTCATGAAGGATTTGTGCTGCACATAATGTGCCATGTAGAACACTAGATCCATGGTGAAACAGCACAGATGAACTTACTTCTACACAAAGCAAAGACCAGCACAGACCTGAAACCTGGCTCTCTGGCGCCATCGCGTGTTCAGGCAAAGTTAAGCAAAGCAGAATCATTCTTTTTTGCATTCTCCATCGTTTTATAGGATCGTCTTGTTAAATCTGTCGCATGAGTTTCGTGTGGTATTAACATGATCCAGAGAACTGCTTTAAGGTTTTTATTAGTTTGTGAATATCTGACCATAAATAAACTAAGTTTAGTTGAGAGAGCGGTGCAGCGGGGTTTGACGTCAGGGGGTCCGCGCTCCTCAGCACATGACTCTGTACTTTGTACTGCGCTGACAGTGCGGCTCGTCCTACAGCAGCTCAGCTCAGCTCGGCTCGGCTCGGCCCGGGACCCTGCACTGGAACAGAATCTGCACCGGGGCTCTGCACCGGGACTCTGCACCGGGAACACTGCGGCGCAGGCGGGAACACGCCGCACTTTGCTGCTGCGGCGGAGCTCACGTCCCGTTGCGGACTGTGTGACTCCTGCTCCTGAGACACATCCGCCTCAAGCCGCGGTCCGCCAGGAGCCATGGCCGAGTCCAACCCGTGGGGCTTCCCACGCCTGCGCCGCGCCGCGGTGAGTGTCCAGGACATAAGGCGAGGATGGGGAGAGGAGAGGAGAGGAGAGGAGAGGAGAGGAGAGGAGAGGAGAGAGGAGAGGAGTGGGGAGAGGCTGCAGCAGACAGTACTGAAGTCCTGCCATATAGTGCTGCGCCAGAGCAGGGTGTGATGTGGTGCATGCTGGAGTGAGGACAGGCCAATGACAAACGTGTTTCTAGTGTTTGTGTGGATAAAGTGCAGGTGCGTCTCTCACTGCAGTCCACCACACTATACTGCTGCTGCTGCTGCTACTGCTGCTGCTGCTGCTGCTGCTGCTGCTGCTACTGCTGCTGCTGCTGCTGTTACTGTTACTGCTGCTGCTGCAGAGCGGGTTAACCATGAAGCTGAGAACAACACGAGGCTCTAAGTTTCCTGTGTTATAAGTGCAGAAAGTCCAGACTCAAGGCTTGCATGAGAGAAATAGGATACAGCAAAGACAAGGTTAAAGAGGAAGACATCAATTATTCACAGTCCACCAAACGTTTACGTTTTGCCATGAGTGCATTTTGGGTGGATACTTGTGTCATATCTGTGTCCTGGCTCCTGATTGACTCTGACCTTGATTTTTTTTGGCTGAAAGTTAGTGTGTCACTGTCTCAGGGTGATCTCAGCCACATTTGTCAGATGATACCCCTCCTCCTCATCATCCAATCACAACAGGAGTCATCGTGGCTATGGCAACAGTGTCCAAAAAGCTGCTTCAGTCTGACATCACACCACGTCACACTGGTAAATAAAAAGTTCAACCACCTCCTCCCCTCGTTTGTAGCATCATGTTAAACAGTGCTATTGTTGAGCCATGGCGCTGTTGCTGTAAAACAATCATATGAGAGGAAGGGGCTTGTTTCCATGGAGAATTAAGATGTTCATATTACTGGGTTAAATTATATTCATTTAGGTCAAAATCTGGTGTAATCAAACAAAACTAAAATATGAATTTGACAATCTTAGAAGAAAGATAAAGTCATTTCTCTAGACGTTTGAATGATAATTGCATTGATATTTATTTGATATTTTGATTGATATTTTTTGACAGCATGCGCTCATCAGGAAACGTTCTATATTTACTAATTGTTAAACAAACAAGGAGCGGAACAATATATATTTTAGATATCAATATTTATCAGCTTTACAATCAAAATAACAAGAACAGTCTAACTATTGTCTTAATAACACCATGACATTTGAGCTGTAGAAAAATGTGGTCGTAACATTTTGGCTTTCCTTTTAACAATAAATATAATCTCTCTTAAATTACAAGTATTGCACTTTTCTATTTTTATTTGAGAACTGTTATTTAAATATAATATAGCGTACGTGTAAATACTCAATATCAATAGAAAAAGAAAACGTGTGAGATAGCTGTTTCTTATTGTACACTTGTTGCCATGGAAAATTGTAATCTAGGACATTGCTTTAGGGAAATATATTCATCCTAACTTGACAATAATCAGTAGTTTAATCAAATTGCCGTGTTGTAATATTTAAGTAATCATGTAAATGCCTGTAACATTCTACATTCACGCTCCTCATTACGACACTTTCACTGAGTGGGCATTTCATTAAGAGTGAATCAATCTCACTTTACCCAGACCTGGGATCCAGACTCTGGAGAAATGTATTGGATTAACTGTGTGCACTTTCAGACCCAGGGACATCTTGCACAGCACTTTAAACGTCCAATGGTTTATTTTTTCAAACCTTTATTTTGCTTATTGATCTTTGTGCTCATTAAAAAGTTCCAACAGAAGCTTGAGGTTCACGTGTATTTGGAGAAAGTCTGGTGTTTGTGGGTGGATGCAGTGTCCCCAGTCGATAATGAACAGGGAGGAGGAGAGTGAGGAAGAGCAGAATGAGGGAGAGTAGAGGGAGGAAGAGTAGAGTCAGCTCTGTGGGGTTTTTGAAGGTGTTGGAGAAGATAAAATCGTTTCATGAGGACAGTTCCAGACAGAGAGTGATGTTGAGACAGTGGACATATTGAGCTGTGTGTGAAAGACACTGGAGCACTGTCAGTCTGCCTTCAAACTAAAGGAGAGACAAGGCAAGTATATTTGTAAAGCATGGTTCTCATTTGGTTCTCAACTCAAAGTGCTTAATAAAACCAGAAAAGATACAACAGAATCTTCATAAATAATCGCATTGCATTAAAAAAGTGAAGATACAATCCTTTCTATGCACAGCAAAACATACAGTAATTGTGTATACATACTAGTCTCCTAATGATGAACATATGTGTTGTCCTGGCAACAATCTCGGGCTGTGCAGATCAAGCTATTTGTTTACAAAAAGGTTCTATTAGAAAATAAAAGAAACAATAAATAATAAATTAAAAATAACGTTAAAAACCTGACGAAAGGTTCAACTTTGGCAATATTAGGGTTGTAACTATCTTTTTGTTTTGATTGCTGTCCTTATCTGTTAAGAATGTATTATGAGATTGTTAGAGCACATTCTAATGGGTGTTTTCTACAGACAACCTTTTAAGCCTTTCCTGTTTCAGCGTGTATGCACTTGCATCTAGAATCACACACATGTGTCTGTGTGTAGCATATATCTGCCAGATATTATTGGTCCAGTTGACTTCTATACTATACTTTGCCACTCAGCCTTCTGTATTTAGCAGAAGGGTGGAACTAGTTCAGTTTAGTTTAGTTCAGTTCAGTTGTAGTCTTTATTTCAAATTATGAATGAATTGTACAATACATTAAAAAAGAAAAGCGTTATGCATATATGCACAATTTGAAAAGTTATCCCAGGTTTACTCTCTCACATCATCTTCCACTCTTCACAGACGTCGTTTCCGGGGAACCTGCACTTGGTTCTGGTGCTGCGTCCCTCCACTCTGTTTGGATCGGCCCAGACTCCCTCCTCCAGCACCGACCTGGGCTTCCGCTTCAGCCAGGACGACTTCCTGCTCAAGATGCCGGTGAGAAGAAGTTTACGTTATTATTCATATATACAGCAGTTAGTCACTTACTTGATCATGTTTTCACTAATTCATGGTTCACTTTGTGGCATCTGCATAAATCTGTGAAATCCATATTCTGTCAGCTAAGCAGGACAGGGACTGGTTATCACTGTGATGGGAGACCTCTTGTGAGTCCTCCTCCTCTCCTCCAGGTGGTGATGCTGCGGTCCGTGGGCGACTTGTTGCGTTACATCGATGAAAACCACTTGACGTCAGAGTTCACCGGGAAAGTACAGTACTGTCAGAGCGACTGGATTGTCCTCAGATCGGTGAGTGCTCGCTGGTTCACTTCATGTTATGGATTATCAACAGTCAAGACTGAGAATGAATGGACATCCCCCATAGTCTTATCCTGGAAGAAGCTGTTTAGAGCTAACTCAAATGGGCTCCAGTGGGGGTAAATCTGGAGTCAAATTTGCGGGTAGCAGCAGCATAGCAACCAAAAAGCCTACTATAGCAACACTGGTCTGTCCATGCTAACGCTACATGCTAGCTTAGACATGTCCAAACCAGTAGGGGCGGGTTTCGGCTCAAAAGTGGCCAAAATGACGTGCGCTGACATGCTTGCAATACCACCCCGGGCTGATGGGGGTGGACCCAGAAGAAGAATTAGCCAATTCTAACATATAGCATTGGCAGACCTCTGGAAAATGTCTTTACAGGATGGTCCAAAAGTTGGCTCTTGGCCCAAAGCTCCGTTCCACATGTGTGTCAATGCTGAGGGGGGTGAATTATTTTGGTCCACTCTAGTTTACTTCCTGTGAATTTTTGAAGTCTCTCGTTCAAATGAATGGAGCTTGCGCCGGCTGACGCATGCACAGATGCGTTTTTTCACAATTTTCTTGTGGGCGGGACCACTCGCGGCCATTTTGGATTGCTCCAGTAGAGCACATTTTTTGGCCCATTAGTTAGAACGGTGGAGATAGACGTGACTCTGTCCGTTAATATATACAGTCTATGGTCCAAACAAAGCCCAATTGCAGCCCACTGTGTCATGTTCTGTGGTCCTCTGCCTTGCTAACCCAAAGTACCATTGAGAAAATAAACACAAGTTAGTAGTGTCATCCAGCCAACTTCAGCTTCACCAAAATAGGCATGGTACACCTTGTTGTAAAGCTCAGAACCTCTTCAATCATTTCTTTATGTACTGGCGTTTATTTTTACATTTTGTCAAAATATTCCATCTAGCGCTAATGGTGCTGGTGAGATGGTCATTCAGCCAACTTCAGCTCTCACAAATGTGTATCAATATGGTCATTACAAATCAAAAAAGGCAAATTCCCGTCCAAATAGTTGTATGAGTCTATGTTGCAGCCTCTGGACAAGTCTTGCCTTGTGTATGAATTGTGAGCCTTGCCTTGCCTGGTGAACTAAAGTCGCCCTCTTATGGAAAAGTTTGGACACCCCTGTGCTGGCTAAACCCAAATTCGGAAACCCGGATTTCTGCATCTAGTGGGCTTGCATTGTCCATCTATATACAGTCTTTCAATTTAGAAAGATTCAAATCTGCTGTTTATTGTTGTAGCTGTAAATACTCCTGACATACTGTTGTTGTGTGCTGTGCGTCTGTATCGTGTTGTCAGGCCATAGAGACGTTTGCGGTGACGGTGAAGGAGATCGCTCAGCTGCTGCAGAGATTCGGGGCGGAGCTGTCGGAGACTGAACTCCCAGATGAACCCGGAGCCATCGACTTCCTGCTCAACTCACACACTCACCGATACAGGCAGATGAAGGTGCCGCTCTGCAGTCTGGATGCTTTTAAAGGGACTAGAACGTGGGATATAGACTTTTCACACCATGTGGTTTTTCCCCTTGTCTTTTACACACTCAAGTTGTTTAACTATTTAAGGATCACCTGTTCCTTCTCGAATTATGATACCCAAATGGAAATGCTTATTGTGTGGACATCTGATGTCGTGTTGTGCCTCATTTGAAAGGTAACACACACAAGGGAATACTGATGCTATTAAATTGAAAATATTTGAATCTATCCAAATATCTAAATGAAAATAAATAAATAAATGAATCCTCCCCGTATAGGAAGGGTGATCCTTTGATCCTCTGCCGCATCATACCCACTGCTTTTACTGTATCCACTGGTTTTCCTTTCTGAATCTGCGATATGTGGACGATTCAGCAGCGTTGCGCAGCCATGTAACTGCTGATTGCTAACTTTATCTGCAGCTTAGATGGAGAATTTGATAGATATCGAAACTTAGAATGAACTAAATAGATTGACTAAATACATAAGTCATAGATTGATAGCAGACTTTTTCTACCTTTAGTACGATTTGGGCCTCATTGGTGAAGTATTTACTCATGTGCAAAAGAGTTGACGTCAAAATCAATTAAGTCCTATTTGACCTAAAATATCATACTGGTGCACACTGGGGTCTTGCACAGTTTTTCCAATGTGGTTTTACTGCAAATGGCAAATCAATTCTTGTATCTAGCTTGCATCTTGAACAGTGGGGGAGGGTCCCAGCTCAAAAGTGGCCAAAATGACGTGCGCTGACATGCTTGCAATACCACCCCGGGCCGATGGGGGTGGACCCAGAAGAAGAATTAGCCAATGCTAACATATAGCATTGGCAGACCTCTCAAAAACGTGTTTACAGGATGGACCAAAAGTTGGCTCTTGGCCCAAAGCTCCGTTCCACATGTGTGTCACTGCTGAGGGGGGTGGATTTTTTTGGTCCACTCTAGTTTACTTGCTGTGAATTTTTGAAGTCTCTCGATCAAATGAATGGAGCTGCGCCGGCTGACGCATGCGCAGATGCGCAGATGCCCAGATGCGACCACTCGCGGCCATTTTGGATAGCTCCAGTAGAGCACATTTTTTGGCCCATTAGTTAGAACGGCAGAGATAGGCGTGACTCTGTCCATTAATATATACAGTCTATGGTCTTGAATCATGCACATCTCCTGGCAGCATCTAAACACTGCCTCGGCATCAAGCTTTCATATCGTGGGAAAGCTTTCATTCATGCAGCAACCCTCCTCCTCCCCCTCACCGCCTCATTCTGAACTGTCCCACCACCAGGGTCTAGGCCACGGGGGATTTCACCTCATACTGTATTTAATTTCTCCTTCTGAATTTGTCATTTGGTGCTCTGCCAGAGTCTAAGCTTAAGTAAGTAAGTAAGTAGTAAGTAATGTTTATTTATATACCGCCTTTCACAGACAAGGGTCACAAAGCGGTTTACAATTATTACTATTTTTTTGGGCATTTGTCCTCTCACTCCACACAGAGATGGGAGCGGGGTTGCCGAACAGGACATATTTTTAGTGGTAGGGGAAACCGGAGTACCCGGAGGAAACCTACGCAGACACGGGGAGAACTTGCAAACTCCACTCAGAAAGGCCCTGGTCCGACCGGGATTCGAACCCAGGACCTTCTTGTTGAGAGGCGAGAGTGCTATCCACTCAGCCACCGTGCCGCCCAACTTAAATTAAACCACATTTAGAATTTGATAGATATCGAAACTTAGAATGAACTAAATAGATTGACTAAATACATAAGTCATAGATTGATAGCAGACTTTTTCTACCTTTAGTACGATTTGGGCCTCATTGGTGAAGTATTTACTCATGTGCAAAAGAGTTGACGTCAAAATCAATTAAGTCCTATTTGACCTAAAATATCATACAGGTGCACACTGGGGTCTTGCACAGTTTTTCCAATGTGGTTTTACTGCAAATGGCAAATCAATTCTTGTATCTAGCTTGCATCTTGAACAGTGGGGGAGGGTCCCAGCTCAAAAGTGGCCAAAATGACGTGCGCTGACATGCTTGCAATACCACCCCGGGCCGATGGGGGTGGACCCAGAAGAAGAATTAGCCAATGCTAACATATAGCATTGGCAGACCTCTCAAAAACGTCTTTACAGGATGGACCAAAAGTTGGCTCTTGGCCCAAAGCTCCGTTCCACATGTGTGTCAATGCTGAGGGGGGTGGATTTTTTTGGACCACTCTAGTTTACTTGCTGTGAATTTTTGAAGTCTCTCGATCAAATGAATGGAGCTGCGCCGGCTGACGCATGCGCAGATGCGCAGATGCCCAGATGCGACCACTCGCAAATTAAATTAAATTAAACCACATTTAATTTCCAGCATGCAATAAATGTAATTCTTTGATATAAGGCCTGCAGAGTCTGATGTGCTAATTTATGTGGTGACAGATTAATTTCAAACTAAAACTAGAAACTATTAAGTTGCATTATACTGGTTTACATGAAAAAATTAGGTTGCATTATACTGGTTTACATGGAAAAATCCCTATTAGGTTGCCTATTAGGTTAACATTATTGTGGTTTACATGTAAAAATCCTTATTAAGTTGCATTATTAAGTTGCATTATACTGGTTTACATGGAAAAATACTGGTTTACATCCCTATTAAGTTGCATGGTTTACATGGAAAAATCCCCATTAAGTTGCATTATACTGGTTTACATGTAAAAAACCCTATTAAGTTGCATTATACTGGTTTACATGGAAAAATCCCTATTAAGTTGCATTGTACTGGTTTACATGGAAAAAACCCTATTAAGTTGCATTATACTGGTTTACATGGAAAAAACCCTATTAAGTTGCATTATACTGGTTTACATGGAAAAAACCCTATTAAGTTGCATTATACTGGTTTACATGTAAAAACCCCTATTAAGTTGCATTATACTGGTTTACATGGAAAAAAATCCCCATTAAGTTGCATTATAACTGGTTTACATGAAAAAAAAACCCTATTAAGTTGCATTATACTGGTTTTACATGAAAAAAACCCTATTAAGTTGCATTATACTGGTTTACATGGAAAAATCCCTATTAAGTTGCATTATACTGGTTTACATGGAAAAATCCCTATTAGGTTGCATGATTACACTGAAGTCTTGAAACTGCTGAAGTCCTTGAAACTGCTGAAGTCCTTGAAACTGCTGAAATCCTTGAAACTGTTGAATCCTTGAAACTGTTGAATCATTGAAACTGTAGAAATGTCTGAAAGAGCTGAAGTCCTATTAAAATGCATGGGGCCTATTAAAATGCATTGCAGAATTCTCAATGCAGATTTTTGTCCGATTGCGGAAAAAACCGGAAATCGCTGAAGTCCCAAAAGTAATAGCAATAATCTCCCAAACATGTGGAAACGTTTTGATGTATAACTTGTGGAAATTGTTGAAAATGTGAAAGCTGTGAAACGTGTCAAAAAAAATGACGGAATATAAAGAAATACAAAACCAATGTTGACTGCGGAAGGTTCCGCAGTCAATCAAAAAAAATACAATTCTAATAATGGTGTTTGTCCAGATTGAAACTTGGGATAGTGAAAGTAGTAGGTCAAACTGCTCAGTCCATTCTCATTCGCTGTGAAATGTGCCAACAAAGCTCATAGCTCAACAAAACATAGTGAATTCTTGCATTTTGTATGTGTTTAAATTTAGGACGACATCAGAGGTGTGCTAAAAGAGGGCCGTCTGCTGTTTTCAAATCTGGAAACTGTGAAAGCCTCAAAGAAAAGTTCAGAAAACCAAAGCGAAATGCAGTCGGACATGGAGACTGTGAAAAGGTGCGTCCAAACCTTTTATTTCTCAATTTAAAAAAATGAATTGTTTGTTGAATCAGACGTATGTTCCAGACTTCTGGCTCAGCTCAGAGACATGGAGGAGGCTTTTGACGGCTTCTTTGAAAAGCACCACCTCAAACTACAGCAGTATCTCCAGCTGCTGCACTACGAGACCAGCTTTCAACAGGTCACACTCCAGCGATAAACAAGTGACTATGTGCACATGTAATTATTTATATGTGTTTTTCAGATGGAGGAGACATTGGAGAGACTGTTTGCTCAGGAAAAAGGCATAGACTGTGTTGGGACGACCGTGATTCAAACGGAACAACTTCTGAAAGACTTGGATATTCTCAACACACAAGCCGAGGTTTGGCACGAAACTTAATTTGACACTAGCAGCACACAATTATGACTTATTATTCTCCTAAAAACTGTAGCTTCATCCCAAGTAACATCAAACTAAACCTGAATAATACAATAGACTCAACCATGTTTATCGCCTTCACAAACTTATCCAAAGGAAGATGAGAATAGGCTAAAGACCAGACGCATTTTTGTGATCAACTAGGCCAATGCATCAGACAATTTATGTATACAACAAACAGCTCAAAAGGACGAGGCAAATGTAAAAGTAGCTTGTGTGGATCCACCCCTGTTCACAAACCCAGGGAGAAGAGCTACTGTGTGTTTCAGAAGCGAATGTGGATCTAAATAAAAACACACAACGCAAGGCATTAAAATCATAATAGTTTGGTTGTGTTCATGCATGCGTGTGTGTCTCTGTTGGTGTGTGCGCATGTACATATGTGCATATATGTGTGTGGGTTTGTCAGTGTGTGTCTCTGTTTGTGCATGTGTACTGTATACTGTATGTGTGTATTAATGTGTGTGCATGTCTGTGTGTTTGGGTGTGCATGTGTGTGGGTGTGTGCTTGTACGTGTGTGTATGTGTGCAGCTGTGTGTCTTAGTCTGTGTGTATGTTTGTGCGTGTTTGTGCATGCCTATGTACAGTATGTTTATGTGTGTGTGTGTGTGTCGGTCTGTGTATGTGTGTGCTTGTATGTTTATGTGTGTACTAATGTGTTTATGTCTGTGTATGTATGTGTGTGTGCTTCTACATGTATGTGTGTGTATATGTGTTTATATCTTTGTGTGTGTGTGTGTGTGTATGTATGTGTGTATATGTGTCTCTGTGTCTGTGTATGTATATATATGTGTGTATGTGTCTCTGTGTATGTATGTATGTATGTATGTATGTGTGTCTGTCTGTGTATGTGTGTGCTTGTATGTTTATGTGTGTACTAATGTGTTTATGTCTGTGTATGTATGTATGTGTGTGTGCTTGTACATTTATATGTGTGCATACTGTATGTGTTCATGTCTGTGTGTGTCTGTGTATGTATGTATGTTTGTGTGTGCATATGTGTTCATGTGTCTGTGTGTGTGTGTGTGTGTATGAACCAGGAGGAGATGTCCAGAGCTCAGATGCTGATCCTTCACGGACACCAGTTGGCGGCGAACCATCACTACGCTCTGGCTCTGATCGTGCAGCGCTGTAACGAGCTGCGTCACCATAGCGATGTCCTATCCACCGCCCTGCGCTCCAAACAGGCCTCTCTGACCCGGGCCCGAGACCTGCTCTTCAGACTGGAGGAGGTAAGCACACTCACACACACTCAGGTTTCACTTCTATATTATTACATTTATACTTGTGGTTCATGATTTGTGTAAACGTGTGAAATAATTAACACGGGAACTCCCAGAATTCTGAATCAAAAATAGATATATTTGTATTGCCTTAAGTAACAGGAAGTCAGTTTTGCTCAAGGTGCAAACTAATTCTAAAAGTAAAAATAGATCTAAGGCATGCTTTAAAAAAATCTTTGTAGAATTTCTTAAAATTACTGTGGAGAAGACCCAGGACACGCTGGAGGGACTATGTCTCTCAGCTGGCCTGGGAACGCCTCAGAGTCCCCCCGGATGAGCTGGCGGAGTGTGGATAGGGAAATCTGCGCGTCTGCTTAGACTGCTGCCCCCGCGACCTGGCAACGGATGAAGCGGAAGAAAATGAATGGATGGATGGACCACTAATACAAGTGCACAGTAGTACACACAATAGACAATAGAAACTACTAACTTAGAACTCTTTAGGCTGTAAATTCCCACTAGAAAAATTCAGTTTGGACACCGGTCCGAAATACTGAAATAGAATTTTACAACTTGAGCAAAAAGCAGAGACATGACATTTAAAGTCTATCTACTTCTCGCCTATTTAGTTTGTTGTTTTAGGGGACCTATTATTTATTATTATTGGGTCATACATTTTTTTGGAGGCAAGTGTGGCTCTTTATTTCTATTGAAGTAACAGGAGTCTGAAAAGTAAGAAAGTTTGTATAAGTCATAAACTAAATAATATTAAAGTACTTATGATTTCCACAACTACCTAAATTGTTAAATAGATCTGTATGAATAACTGTATGTATCTTTGCATGGATTATATTACAATCACTATGAGTCAGTCTGAACCAATGATAACTTAATCGTATTACATTATCAATTATCAAGTAGTATTACAAGTATTTACAAGTACTAAGAGTACTACTGTAGGTCATGTGTTCCAGGCTCTGAGGTGGTGTGATGAAGGGGCCTATCTTCTGGCCAGTCAAATGGTCGACAAGTTCCAGACTCGAGAAGGAGCTCAAGAGGCACTGCACAGTCTGAGCTGTCACCAGGAGAGGGCGCCATCCACCATCAAACACAGCCAACCCACACTGAGCCTGGAGTTTGAAGCCATCCTCACTCCACAGCTGCAGGTGAAGAACTCTCTGCTTTTAATGTGTTTCAATCTCAAAGCGCGGTATAGTCCTGGGTCAGAGAAAGGCGATACATTTTGATCATTTTCAGGACAAAGAATACATTTCTGTACATATTTTTGACAAAGAAGAAGACAAGAAGAGACGTTTTTCTATCAATTTGTGAATATATTTGTGGAAATTACCAAAAGGTGAAAGTTAGGTTTAATATGTATCCATTTTAGTTCTGAAATTCTGTAAAAAAGGATGTTGATTACATGCATATCAGTAACATTCAAATATGATGAGATTACATAACTAAAAACAGATTTTAATGCTAATTGTACAAATGTTACTTAGTAAAAATCTTTTTTATCGTGCTATTCCTAAAAAGTGACTGGAGATTTTTCAGCTTAGATGGATGTGAAAAATATGGAACGCACAATTCATTCTACAGGACATAATAAAATTGCCAATAGCAGATTAGAAAATCAAGCAATCAAAACAGCTATGGTCAAGTAGAAAAATCTCTCTTCTGCAAGGACACAAAAACAATGGTAAAAAGAGAAATTTCCGGGAGAAACACAGCAGAGAGGACTGAGGCTGTAGATCCAGGACTGAAGCTGTAGATCCAGAACTGAGGCTGTAGATCCAGGACTCAGGCTGTAGACCCAGGACTGAAGCTGTAGATCCAGGACTCAGGCTGTAGACCCAGGACTGAAGCTGTAGATCCAGGACTGAAGCTGTAGATCCAGGACTCAGGCTGTAGACCCAGGACTGAGGCTGTAGATCCAGAACTGAGGCTGTAGACCCAGGACTGAGGCTGTAGATCCAGGACTGAAGCTGTAGATCCAGGACTGAGGCTGTAGCTGAGTCCTGGAGGCTGTCTTTCCCATTGTTCCTCCATCACATTGTTCCTGATTCTCTTCTCCTCTTTTGCACACACTTCAGTCCCAGATCACCATGGTGACGGATAAGCTCAACACAATGAGGTGTATGATCAAAAACCGGGAGCAGTGTCTGAGAAAACTGGCTGATGTCCAAGTTCGACCCATTCAACCTGTGGCGCCGCGCCCTGAATCAGACCCCGTATCCCAGCGCGGAAAGTCTCCACTCTTCTCCCCAAAACACGGTATACATTTATTATTTCTGAAAAAAGATACCCCAGCTGTAATTAAATACATTCATATATTGTTAAGGGGCCAGCATTACATTACACTATTATTTATAACTAATAATTTTTACTTTTTGTTGGATACCTCGTGCTTTGAGTGCACCTGTGTCTGTTTGTGCAGGTGTAGACTTTAATGTCCTCAATTCCAAGTTTTCCTTCGACCTACTTCCAGGAAAGAGAGCCTTAAAGAAGAACAACAGCCAACCAAAAGTGTGTACAACGACAATATTCAGCTTTTGTGCACTTTGCAAACATGACTGCAGGGATTTCTGGCATCACGTTATTGTATTTGTTATTTTCCATGTTTTGATCGGACTATGCTAAAATGTATCTATCTAAATGTATGCTTTTGGCTCATCATTAGTGTTCACATGCAGTTGGGCCATTAGCAGAACCATGGAGCTGCGTTCCATTATAGACTGTATATAGGACAATGCTAAGCCGCTAGCTCAATGAAACCTTATGGGGATTCCATTCACATACAAATGAAAAGTAAGCTCCTCTTTCTCTCTAACCGATTGTGTCACACTCACCATTTTGAGTTTAAAAATGTGATTGGCTTTGTAAGTACTTACCGATATAAGCCCAAGGAATTGACCAATCAGGTGCCGTCTGTCCTCAAAAACAGCTTTAGCTAGCAAGTAGGGCGAGTGGGAACAGATTGACATAGCTCCTGATTGGCTCTTTGGTTGCTAGGTCGTTGTTATCCCTGAATTTGGTTCCAGATTCCAGCCCATTACTGAAAATAATTTTCTTTTTACATGGTATCATTAAGGTACATACAGTAGTTCATACACTATTTTGCATGTGGTGAAATATGCATAAAATACAAATCTATCTAATAGTGAAACAGAATGGTACAGATTGCAGCGTATCGCTAAAATACAGGCGTGAACAAAAATAATTACTTTTTTTTTTCAGAAAGGGAAATAGTCAACAGAAAAATAAACTTGAAAATCAACTTCACTAAATGTTTCAGTATTCATGTTGGAAGTCACTGATGTCGCCTTTACCAATGGCTCAGTTCACATGTTTTCTATTTAGATTATTATAAAGAGTGCTGGGCCTTTTTGTCTCAAAGTTCTGTGTTTACATAATGCACTTTCAGAAATAATGGAGAACAAAATATTATCTTTTCTACCACTGTTATATTATAGTAGTGAATGTAAAGTGTTTTAACTGATTCTGATTAGTTGATGTTTTGTTTTGTAGATCGAGGTGATGCACGATTATCAGGGAAACCGCAGCTGTTTGTACGGACCTCTGTCAGAGACGGACTCCGAGGCCGAGTCCGACAACCCAGAGCAGGTCACACGGTACTTTCACTTTTTCATTTTCAAACACGGCTCAATATCTGGGAAGTAAACAGATTTCTCTCCTGTCTTTGCATGTGGCAGAAAGATACAGTAGATCAATCCCCATCAGCAGCAGCAGCAGCAGCAGCCAGTATTCCTGCTGGTTGTAAACTATTTAGAATTAATAAACGGCCTGCTGGTGCTGGAAAATTTAATTTAGATGGGGATTCAGTCATTTCAAATCGTCAAAAACAGATTGAGTCTTCGTAGTAAACACAAAGCTAATAACAGCTAACATAATAACTTTGTATATTTGTGGCCTGATAAGGAAAAAAAATCATTTTTTTTCTCACATAACTGCTGTGATCTAGACACACGGGTTGCCTTTCATCCCCGAACTTCTCCAAAAACCTGGGAGGCTCTTTTTAACATTCTTGTAATTTTTGCTGTTTTTCTCAATTTATTCAGATTTTTGTGTGAGTAAAATTAGATTATTGTTTGGTTATTATGCATTGACTCCTACAGTAATGCCAGTTACTATGAAAAACCCATCCAATTCCAATATTGTGATCCACCAATATCATATCTGTTAACCCTGAATTCCTGAATTACATATGCCCAGTCTTTATAAACAGCAAGTCATTTTAAAATAGTAATTGTACTGTTATTTTTCTATTGTGTGTAGCTCTATGGGCAGCACTTGTTGTAAATGTGCTATACAAATAACCTTGACAGAAACCTTGGAGCTAGATAGTCACTTTAAACCTACCAATAACCGTAGGACAAACCTAACATTGTGTCTATGTTTTTCTGACGTACAGCCACATCATGAAGGAGCTGATCTCCACAGAGAGGGTCTATGTGGACGAGCTTCTCTCTCTGCTCCTGGTGAGTCTCAAACTGATGACTTCGTGCTGACTCTGCGATAAATCTGTTGTTAATGGTTCAAACCTCCGCTGGCCCTGAGCATCTGTGCCTCTGTGAACATAATTATGGTTTCCTCAGTAATTACAATAATGTCGCGCCCAAGAATCACACGACATTCCATTATCCCAGTTTAGATTAGGTACAATTAGACAAGAAGTAATTAGAGAACGATATATACAACAACTACTTCTGCCACTTACCTTTGTATACATGCTTAGTTTTTTAGCTTTGTCTAATAATCTATGCATTATTCTCACGTTTCTAATAGATAAGCTGCTATGGAGATGTGAAGTGGACAGAGCTTATAATTCCCACCAGTAAAATTCTCCATTAAAAATCATTCAAAAGAGATTTCTATAAATAATTCTCATAAAAGACTGAAAACGGCTTCAGAGCGGATCAACAATCTGAATGCTGACATACAGAGTTAAGCAAATGGTAGTTTTTTTTCTATTAAAACCTCTGCGCTGTGGATAGTAGTGATCAGATCAGATTTAGCATCCGTCATGTCCTCAAACTCTTTTTATTTTTTTTGCGTTCTTTTATGAGGATTTACTGAGGATTTTAAGTATTTACCCTAAGCTCCGCCCACTTTGCAGCTCCATAAAGACATGTCAACATATGGTGCAGTCAAAATCTTTTACCAGTTTCCTTCCACTTATTTACTTGTGTTTACAAAAAAAATATTTTGCAATGGAAAAAACAAATAATTACACTATTAAATACAAAATAGATGTCTCACCTGACTTTTTTGTTTCATACTTGAGTCTTTGTAAGTTGCCGTTGTCTTACTTGAGAACTTATAAAGTGCTACTTGTAAGAAGTGAGTCACTAATGGATGCTTTGGGCTCAGAGGTTATTGACTGAGTGAGAATGTTTTTTCACTGTAAAAGCTGAATATGTGACAGTCAAAAAGTAAATGTGAAAACTACTGATAGAACCAAAGTGTTTTGAGAGTGACAAACAAGTGACATGGTTTGTGTGGTTTGAAAGTTACATACCCCAGCTTTAATGGTGCGTTCAGACCAAACGCAATTTCTGCGGCCAAATCGCGTATATCGCGCGGCTTGAGCCGCTTGTGACAAATTGTGGCAGCCGCTGTCACAGAGAAACTTGGCCGCGCGGCCAGGACACTAGAGGGCAGCCGCTGTCACAGAGCGTTGAGAGCGTCTAGGGGCGGGGCTTGTCTCTTTTGCCTGTAGCTTCCCAAAATGGATGTCAGCGAAGGAGTTGCTTTATCTGATAAATAAAGCCAGACACGTCGTCAAAGGGCGAATCGACGACGTGTCTGGATTCATCAGATAGTCCGTAGACGGTTGGAGTTTGGTGAGTTTCACCATTTGCTCCGGGAGCTGCGCTCGGATGAGGGTCGCTTTCAGCGGTACTTTCGTCTCTCCCTGGCCCAGTTTGACGACCTACTGACCCGCATTGGCGCTAGGGTCTCCTACCAGGACACCAACTACAGGCGCTCTATTCCAGCTGAAGAGCGCCTGTCCATCTGTCTGCGGTTAGTGTTTTTTACCCCATTCAGAATTCATAAATACTTACAAAGTGTGTCATTTTTCAATCACAATCCACAATGTAATTGCTCAGAAAACAGTATTATGCAACAATATGGTGTCTATGATTACTGTCTATGATGTTTACTGTCTACTAGTTTAACGTATTTTATGCTACACAAGTTTTGTCACGTGATTTTTATGAATGTAATTGTGATAAATATGTTCATATAATTTTGTAATTGCAGGTTTCTTGCCACTGGGGACTCCTACAGGACCATTGCGGGGAGCTTCAGAGCGGGCATATCCACCGTCTCCATGCTCATTCCAGATGTGGTGGCAGCCATCTGGGACTGCCTCGTGGAGGAGTTCATGGCTGTGCCTGGAGCAGAGGAGTGGAGGTCCGATGGAACTTCCCTCTGTGCTGTGGGGCCATTGATGGGAAGCATGTGGCTGTGAAGGCACCCCCCAACTCTGGGTCCATGTTTTTTAATTATAAGGGGCACCATTCCCTTGTGCTCCTGGCTGTAGTGGATGCCCAGTACAGGTTCAGGGTGATTGATGTGGGAGGGTACGGCAGATCCAGCGATGGAGGCATCATGGCCAACTCTGCCTTTGGTGAGGCTCTGCGCGAGGGCACACTCGACCTGCCTCCTGACCAGTGCATACCTGGAGCTGACCACAGAGGACCCCAGCCCCATGTGTTCGTGGCAGATGAGGCCTTTTCACTGCGCTGCAATTTAATGCGCCCTGCCCATCTCCAGCCATGAGGATGGCTGGAGATGGGCAGGTTCCTGCACCGAGGGGAGCTGCTGCCGGTGAAGAACTATGGGGTGCCGTTTGTAAAAATTCTGTTAAAATTTTTTAGCTGAACATTTTTCTACATTTAGCTCACTTTCCTCACATTTAGCACATTTTCCTCACATTTAAGACATATCTATATCTAAATATTATATCTATATCTAAATGTTAAATGTTATATCTAAATATTATATCCATATCTAAATGTTATATCTATATCTAAATGTTAAATCTAAATGTTAAATCTAAATGTTAAATCTAAATGTTAAATCTAAATGTTATATCTATATCTAAATGTTATATCTATATCTAAATATTATATCTATATCTAAATGTTAAATGTTATATCTAAATATTATATCTATATCTAAATGTTAAATCTATATCTAAATGTTAAATCTAAATGTTTAAATCTAAATGTTAAATCTAAATGTTAAATCTAAATGTTAAATCTAAATGTGTCGCCAAGTGTAAAGCTAAATATATAGAAACCACGCCCACTGCAGTGGCTTCAAATCCAGTGGGCCCGCCTTCCGTGCCGTGTGGTGAGAGCCCTACAGGATTACACAGGAATCTCACGGGACTCCACGTGGCTTAGTTTACAGTGAATACACTCTGGCTCCAGCAAATAAGCAAGAATCTTCACAAAAATGCTAATTTTGTGCCGTAGCCAAGGACGATGGCGCCGGAGACCCAACATGCCTTGAGCCGTGACGTCGGTCCACGTGTATTCCTATGTTCAAAACACGCGGCACCGCCCCCACTCACCACACGGCACGGAAGGCGGGCCCACTGGATTTGAAGCCACTGCAGTGGGCGTGGTTTCTATATATTTAGCTTTACACTTGGCGACACATTTAGATTTAACATTTAGATTTAACATTTAGATTTAACATTTAGATATAGATTTAACATTTAGATATAGATATAACATTTAGATATAGATATAATATTTAGATATAACATTTAACATTTAGATATAGATATAATATTTAGATATAGATATAACATTTAGATATAGATATAACATTTAGATATAGATATAACATTTAGATTTAACATTTAGATTTTACATTTAGATTTAACATTTAGATTTAACATTTAAATTTAACATTTAGATTTAACATTTAGATATAGATATAACATTTAGATATAGATATAATATTTAGATATAGATATGTCTTAAATGTGAGGAAAATGTGCTAAATGTGAGGAAAGTGAGCTAAATGTAGAAAAATGTTCAGCTAAAAAATTTTAACAGAATTTTTACAAACGGCACCCCATAAAGAACCACTTCCAGGCGTGCAGCGGATGGCCGCCTGGAAGCCAGCAGTGGACATAAGGAAAGTGTTCATGGCCCACTTCAGTGAGGAGGGAGCACTGCCGTGGCAGCCCACAGAGTAGTCATGTCCACCACAAGACTGACCCACATCTGGCCATAGTCCAAACCCATATTGATTTGCACTATTCTATTCACCTGTATACCTTCTGTTTCTAGGTAATGACTGCCAGACTCCACTGCGACTCCACTCCAACTTCAGGTTAATCATATGCACATTCAAGCTTTTCCATAATTACAAGGTTGTTAAAACAGTAAAAGGTGAAATGAATAAAAAATACTGTCAACTACTGTATCGCTCTTTAAGTGTTTGTTATTCCATCTTCTATAAAACCCAGTCAGCTCTTATAAAAGTAAATGTACAAATATAGAATAGCATTTTCTGTCAATATTATATGAAAGGTAGTAATGGTTGGCTTGAAGTAGAACACATGAGGTTTGAAAAATATTTTCTTTATAAAAAAAGGAACAAACAATGAAAAATAAATGAAATGTACATATAAACAAATGAAAAGGAGCTTGCTTGGAGGAGGTGCGGTGGAAGAGGAAAGGGACACATGTCTGTTTCCTCTCCTGCAAAAGGTGTCACCTTAGGTAAAAAAAACTGTCTGTTCTGGCCAATGGTTCCAAATTAAGCAGAACGGTGCTGCTTTCATATAAAAGTTGGTACATTTTGAATTTCACAAATTCTTTTGACTCTGGTGCCACCCTTTGCAGGAGAGGAAAGAGAGAGAGCAGGAACTGATGTTCTTCTGAGTAGTCGGGCGGTGCGGCTGCTTTGGTCCGTAGAGTCTCCAGCAGCTCCCGCTCCCACTCTGAAGGCCCACCAAGGAAGAGGGCTCGGAAGAGGCCCACGTCCGTAGAGCCGCCAACAAAGAACACAGGGCAATCACAGTGTTAAAAAGTGGAACATGTATTTCAAAAAAGCAAAATGAAGAGAGCAAATAATATCTGTATTAAAGCCAGAGTGTGTAGATAACTTGAACATTGCAGTTATCAATGAAATTACTTGATATTACAGTTACAAACTAATATCTCTGAAGTGTATTTCGCAATGAAATTTGAAATTGGCTGTAAAAAAGTAATACTCTATTGTCTGCATTAAACAGGATAGCTGCCATCTTGTGGCAACCATTGCATGTATTTGTTCAGTACTTTTATAGCATAAGGTATTTCAGTAGTATGTTTTTATCGAAGAAAGAGGGAAGATGTGTTGTATCAGACCAAAGCTTCTTTCCACCTGTAGTGCCTTGACATCTTGTCGTTTCTCTGTAAATTTGTCGTCTACACTGATGTAACAGCCCTTGGGTAATTTTGGCATATTATGCAGTAACATTTTGTTTATATGAACAGTCCTGTAATAAGAATAAAAATAAAACAATGATTAAAAAAAGCCACACCTGTAGGTGCAGAAGCAGGGGAAGGTCCAGCCCTCACAGAAGAAGAACCGGCTGAGGAAGCAGCAGCAGCAGCAGCAGCAGCAGCAGCAGGCAGCTCAGGCAGCTCAGGCCAAGATGTCTCACCTTGTGTGGTGGTGGCAGTGTCTGTGCCAGAAGAAAACAAGAAATACAATTATTTCATATCATGTGTACATTGCGCTTATGACATTTATATGTACATAATAATGTACATTATTATGTACATTTAAATGATTTGTTCATATAAAAGGGAAAAGTGAAATTTAACACAACACATGATCAAGATCTATCCTGGTTTGAAAATAGCCAATGCCTATTTTCACCTGGCCATGATGTTAAGAAAGCATTAAAAGAAATGCATACACAGAAAGCAATATAAATGTAAAAGTCAGCAAAATGTGGGTAATAGAAAGGAAAGAAATGTATTTTTTCCAACTGTTCGAGGTCTCCGTTTGCTGCATGACACCGACCTTCAGCACCTCATATGTGTCCCTCAGATTCTTCCACCGCTTTTTGCAAACTTCCACTGAATAAACACATCAACTCGTAAGCAGGAAAGTAGTAGTTTTTTTTCGCGGGGAAATATTTACAACATTGAAAAGTTAAAATAACTTACCCGAGACACCAACCACCTCGCTAACCCTCCTCCAAGCAAGCTCCTTTTTATTTCGGTCCCGGTAGCTGTGGTCCGCAGTGTTATATAGCTCAGAATGAGCACCGACCTGAGCAATTGACGTGTCCTCCATAGCTGTCATCTACTAGTGTTTTTCCGGTAGTGAAATGCGTCACTACGTCACTGGAGGAGAAAGCTCCTGATTGGTCGGCACACGCGAATTCTCCCAAAAAGTTCAACATTGTTCAACTCTAGCGGCGGCCGCGTTGGAGGCACGAATCGCGCGAAACGCGCGTCAAAACGCTTGACATCTCAAAACACGCCGCGCGAATCGCGCGAAACGCTCGAATTCGCGCCGCTCTGGCCGCGCGAATCGCGCCGCGTGATCTCTCGCCGCTCCTTGGCGCGCGTCCCCCATGTTGTGTCAATGTAGACCCGCCGCTTTGGCCGCAGAAATCGCGTTTGGTCTGAACGCACTGTCAAGTGTTGCGTTTGTGTTTTGATTCCTAAACACGATTTGAGAACAATGGGACTGAATGTAGAAGTGACAAAGGATGGATCAATGTGTGTGCGTGTGTGTGTGTGTGTGTGTGTGTGTGTGTGTGTGTGTGTGTGTGTGTGTGTGTGTGTGTGTGTGTGTGTGATGTGTGATGTGTGATGTGTGTGGGATCAGGGCTACAGGGCGGAGATGGAGGACCCGTCTGTGTGTCACCTGCTCCCATCAGACCTGCGCAGCCAGAAGGACGTCCTGTTTGGAAACATGCCAGAGATTTACCAGTTCCACAGCAGGCACGACACACACACACACACACACACACACACACACACACACACACACACACACACACACACACACACACACACACACACACACACACACACACACACACACACACACACACACATATAAGATAAGATAAGATAGACATACACACATGCATGGCGCATACACACACATAAGATAAGATAAGATAGACATACACACATGCATGGCGCATACACACACATAAGATAAGATAAGATAGACATACACACATGCATGGCGAATACACACACACACGCAGACACACATGGGCACACATACAGTAAGAGATAAGATAGACATACACAGACACACACCCCCACACACATAAGATAAGATAGACATACACACACACACATGGGCACACATAAGTACACACACACACACACACTAATGCAAACACACACATAGACACACAAACACTGACACTGTCTTTCCAAGCTGTAACTGCTTAGTTCTAGTCACAGCATAAATGTGAATAAACTACACTACACCATCTTTGTATTTGGAGTTAAAAATGTAAAATAAGTTAGGTACCTCAGCTTTAACATGGCCGCTGTGAGTCATAAACATTAAAGGGTCTCGTAGCTCTCTTTAACAGATCCACAGACTCTTGGACTCACGCTGAGCCAAGCTGCCACAGAAACCTCCCTCTGTCTGACCTCGCTCATGTCACCAATGTTGCTTTTTCTCTTAACACGGCCGAGAATCCCCGCAGGCCTGCAGCAAACATCCTGAAATCAAAACACACAACTTATCTGAAACGGTTTCTGAAATAATTTGACTTTTCACCAAGAATATGTTGCTTTGTTTTGAGTACATTATGTATAAGACACATTTTACACACATTCTGTGGTTTGATGCTAAAGAGACTGACCTTCTGCTGGTGCCCAGAGTCAGGACTAAACATGGAGAGACTGCATTTTAGATTTATGCAGCTATAATCTGGAACAGTTTTCCTGAAAATGTGAGACAGGCTTCTTATCTGAAAATGTTAAAATCCAGGTTAGAAACAGTTCTGTTTAGCTGCACACAACTGAAGGATTGGAACTTCACTCTTTTGAATCTACTGTGATTTTTATGCCATGTCTTCTTCAGCACTTTGATTTGTTTTGAACTGTGCTATACCAATAAACTGGTCTTGCCTTATGAATGATTTTGTGTGTCTTCTGTAGGGTGTTCCTGCAGGACTTACAGAGCTGCCTGGAGACACCGGAGCGGGTCGGGGGCTGCTTCCTCCGCAGGGTGAGAACTGAAGGAGTTTTTACTGAAATAAGCCGGTGTTACTCGTGAGCTGGTTATTATAGAAAATATTGTAACAATTTAACAATGTTGACTTTATAATAATTGTATTTGAAACTGTAAATGACAAAATCTACCAAGGAGATTTTAATTCAAGGGACCTCCTGGTTAATGTATGGTTTTGTCATTACTATAAAGCAGCCATTCCCAAACTCAGTAACACCGAGGCCCCCTTAAAACTCTGACGGGTCTGCGTGGCCCCCCAAAATAATAACCAAGAAGACAACATTAAGAATAGGCTCTTCTGGTTATTTTATTTTGGGGAAATAGCCTCTGCTACAAACATTGTAATACAAAAATGATTACAGTGGATTATTCAAGTCAAATAATGAACACAAATATTTTAATATTACAAACAAAACATTATAAATTTAACATTAAATAATTATATTATTTTTTTTATGACCTCCCGCGGCCCCCCTGCAGTACCCTCGCGGCCCACCAGGGGGCCGCGGACCCCACTTTGGGAGACACTGCTATAAAGATAAGTCTATTCTTTTGCAAAATATATATAGTTCACACTTCCGGGCTGAATTTCAGAATTATTTTTTCAGTCTTCTGCAGAGACCACATACAACCTACTTATAGCAAGCTTAATCATAATCAAATATAAATCAGAATTTTAGTTACAATAAGAAAATCGCAAAAACGGAATAGAAGAAATGCAAAAAATACATATATAATTTTAGGAAAGAAATATTTATTCTTTATAAAACAAGACATAGTGTGTCCATTAAACCCTGTATTAAATATGTTTACTTCTCTCTCTGTCTGTTCATGTGTGTGCAGAAGGAGAAGTTTCAGGTTTACGAGCGTTACTGCCAAAACAAGCCCAGCTCCGAGTTACTATGGAGACAGTACGCAGACCTGCCCTTTTTCCAGGTATCTGTAAAACTCATCTACACCTGGACTAAGGTGGAAGTCTATGAGAAACAGGTGCATTAGTGTTGCCTCCTAACACTGGTGTTGGAGCTATTTGTCTATTTTTGGATTTCTATAATGAGAATCTAAGTTAGTGCTTTTATATTTTGCTAAGTTCATTTGTTTAAGATAAGTTTGCATGCACACACACATAGCTACACCACCCACACATACACAACCACACAAACATAACCACACAACACCAGACCACACACACAAAAAGGCAAATTCTTCTATCAGCATTGCCTGTTATTAGCATGGATAGAGCCAAAGACATCTCATGGTGTGATTCTGATGAGGGAGAGACTTTGCAACATTTGTGTTTTAATCTTTTACTATATCTGTGGTGGTCTCAGGAGTGTCAGAAGAAGCTGGATCACAAACTGGGACTAGACGCGTATCTTCTGAAACCAATCCAGCGACTGACCAAGTACCAGCTGCTGCTCAAGGTGCTCACACAAATGTATTTGGATAACTGACATTGCAGAAATAACATAAGTTCATTCATTGTATATTTCTGGGTCTGGGTCTATTGATGAAGTCTGGTCCTAAAATATATTTCAACAAGATTCTAAGGGATATTTTATCTCCATGCAGATTTTATTTTGTCAGATTAAAGCCTAGAGCAAAGTGAATAACCAGAAATGAGTGAGAAAAAAACCCCCTGAAATACAAAGATTATAGATTGGATGAGCTGGAACCTGTTTATATAGAGGAAGTCTGTGAATTTCTGCTGAGGGAAATTGGAAGAAAGCAGATGGATGTGTTAAAAAAACAAGTAGATGGAGGAAGCAGAAAGGAAAGAGCTTCTTTTATAGTTTGTTCAGAAAGTAAGACAGTATCTATTCGTTATGGCTATAGTTGTGCTGCTATAGCCCACATACTGTACAGCGCTTTACTTAAAACCATGACGGCAGCAGAATTACGCTGTTACAGAGGGAGCTACTGACAGAGACGTATGGCCCAATAGGTCTAGGTGGCTTTCCTATTTTCTTGAATCAGCATTTTACCGTGTTCCCACTGGTTTGTTCCAATCTATAGAGACAGGCCAAGTAAATAAATAAATAAGCCATCCAGATGCTCTGAAAGAACCAGTACGAGATCTGGCAACGATGATAACTCCATATAATCCAATCCTCTCAACTCGCAGACATCCATAAGTCTTTGATTCATGGCCTAATCGCTTTTATACTCAAAGTTAAAGTGTGCTATGTGGTGTGGACGTCACTGTGTGTTTGCGATGTTGTCCAGGAGCTGCTCAAACACTGCACAGAGGAGCAGTACCGCTGTGAACTCCAGGAGGCGCTAGACTCGATGTTGGAGCTGCTCAAGTCTGTTAATGACTCCATGCATCAGATCGCCATCACTGGATACCAGGTGATGTCACACTGCCCCACCGCAGTGATCACGATAACGACCTATTGTTCTACACATGATTAATGGGACAGAAAGTTTTGGGGGGTGGGGGGAGGTTGTGGAGGGGAGCGAGTTTGAAACTGCTGAACGTCAAATCAAAACCCATCCATCCATCCATTTTCTTCCGCTTTATCCGTTGCCGGGTCGCGGGGGCAGCAGTCTAAGCAGAGACGCCCAGACTTCCCTATCCACACACACCTCCTCAAGCTCGTCCGGGGGGACCCCTAGGCGTTCCCAGGCCAGCTGAGAGACATAGTCTCTCCAGCGTGTCCTGGGTCTTCCCCGGGGCCTCCTCCCGGTGGGACGTGCCCGGAACACCTCCCCAGGAAGGCGTCCAGGAGGCATCCTGAACAGATGCCCGAGCCACCTCAACTGGTTCCTCTCGACGTGGAGAAGCAGCGGCTCTACTCCGAGCTCCTCCCGTGTGACCGAGCTCCTCACCCTATCTCTAAGGGAGCGCCCAGCCACTCTGCGGAGGAAGCTCATTTCGACCGCTTGTATCCGCAATCTCGTTCTTTCGGTCATTACCCACAGCTCATGACCATAGGTGAGGGAGGGAACGAAGATTGACCGGTAAATTGAGAGCTTTGCCTTTCGGCTCAGCTCCCTCTTTACCACAACGGTCCGATACAGAGACCGCATCACTGCGCACGCTGCACCGATCCGCCTGTCAATCTCACGCTCCATCCTCCCCTCACTCGTGAACAAGACCCCGAGATACTTGAACTCCTCCACTTGAGGAAGGACCTCTCCACCCACCTGGAGAGGGCAAGGCACCTTTTTCCGGTCAAGCACCATGGCCTCGGATTTGGAGGTGCTGATTCTCATCCCAGCCGCTTCACACTCGGCTGCAAACCGTCCCAGTGCATGTTGCAGGTCCTGGTTCGTTGGAGCCAGCAGGACGACATCATCCGCAAAAAGTAGAGATGAAATCCTGTGGTTCCCGAACCGGACCCCCTCCGGCCCCTGGCTGCGCCTAGAGATTCTGTCCATAAATACAGTGAACAGAACCGGTGACAAAGGGCAGCCTTGGCGGAGGCCAACATGCACCGGGAACAGGTCTGACTTACTGCCAGCAATGCGAACACAGCTCTGGCTCCGGTCATACAGGGACCGAACAGCCCTCAGCAGAGGACCCCGGACCCCGTACTCCCGGAGGACCCCCCAAAGGACACCCCGGGGAACGCGGTCGAACGCCTTCTCCAAATCCACAAAGCACATGTGGACAGGTTGGGCGAACTCCCATGAACCCTCGAGTATCCGATGGAGAGTATAGAGCTGGTCCAGTGTTCCGCGACCGGGACGAAAACCACACTGCTCCTCCTGAATCCGAGATTCGACCATCGGACGAAGCCTCCTCTCCAGTACCTTGGAGTAGACCTTACCGGGGAGGCTGAGGAGTGTGATCCCACGATAATTGGAACACACCCTCCGGTCCCCCTTCTTGTAGAGAGGGACCACCACCCCGGTCTGCCACTCCATTGGCACCGCCCCCGATCGCCACGCGATGTTGCAGAGACGTGTCAGCCAAGACAGTCCTACAACATCCAGAGACTTTAGATAGTCAGGACGGATCTCATCCACTCCCGGCGCCTTGCCACCATGGAGGCTGCCAACCACCTTGGTGACCTCGGCCAGGGAGATGGAAGTATCCGCCCCAACATCCTCAGCCTCTGCCTCCTGGACGGGGGACGTGACGGGGGGATTGAGGAGAACCTCGAAGTATTCCTTCCACCGCCCGACAATATCCCCAGTCGAGGTCAGCAGCCCTCCACCCGCACCATACACGGTGTTGGCAAAGAACTGCTTCCCCCTCCTGAGGCGCCGGACGGTTTGCCAGAACCTCTTCGAGGCCGACCGATAGTCATGCTCCATGGACTCTCCGAACTCCTCCCAGTCCCGGGTTTTTGCCTCTGCAACAGCCCGGGCCGCGGCACGTTTGGCCTGCCGGTACTGGACAGCTGCCTCAGGAGTCCCACGAACCATCATTGCTCGATAGGACTCCTTCTTCAGCCTGACGGCATCCCTTACTGCCGGTGTCCACCACCGGGTTCGGGGATTGCCGCCGGGACCAGCACCAGAGACCTTGCGACCACAGCTACGAGCCGCCGCATTGGCGATAGAGGAAGAGAACATGGTCCACTCGGACTCGATGTCCCCCTCCTCTGCCGGGACCTGGGAGAAGCTCTCCCGGAGGTGTGAGTTGAAAGTCCGTCTGACAGGGGGCTCAGCGAGACGTTCCCAGCAAACCCTCACTACACGCTTGGGCCTGCCAGGTCTGACCGGCCTCCTGCCCTGCCAGCGGATCCAACTCACGACCAGGTGATGATCGGTTGACAGCTCCGCCCCTCTCTTCACCCGAGTGTCCGAGACACGCGGTCGAAGGTCAGATGATACGACTACAAAGTCGATCATCGACCTCCGGCCTAGGGTGTCCTGGTGCCACGTGCACTGATGGACACCCTTGTGCTCGAACATGGTGTTCGTGATGGACAGGCCGTGACTGGCACAGAAGTCCAACAACTGAACACCGCTCGGGTTCAGATCAGGGGGGCCGCTCTTCCCGATCACCCCTCTCCAAGTGTCACTGGCATTTCCCACATGGGCGTTGAAGTCCCCCAGGAGAATAACGGAGTCCCCGGGCGGTGCACTGTCCAGTACCCCTCCCAAGGACTCCAAGAAGGCCGGGTACTCTGCACTACCGTTAGGCCCGTAGGCCGTCACAACAGTGAGAGACTTGTCCCCCACCCGGAGGCGGAGGGACGCGACCCTCTCATTCACCGGGGAGAACTCCAACACGTGGCGGCTGAGATGGGGGGCAATGAGTATGGCCACCCCAGCTCGCCGCCTCTCCCCGCGGGAAACACCAGAAAAGTGGAGCGTCCAACCCCTCTCAAGGAGTTGGGTTCCAGAGCCCAAGCTGTGTGTGGAGGTGAGGCCGACTATCTCTAGTCGGTATCGCTCAACCTCCCCCACAAGCTCGGGCTCCTTCCCCCCCAGTGAGGTGACGTTCCACGTCCCAAGAGCCAGATGTTGGGTGTGTGGACTGGGTCGTCGAGGTCTCCGCCTTCGACTGCTGCCCAGTCCTCTCTGCACCTCGCCACCACGGACCCCTCTGCAGGTGGTGAGCCCACAGGAGGGACTGCCCACGTCATCCCTTCGGGCTGAGCCCGGCCGGGCCCCGTGGGCTAAGGCCCGGCCACCAGGCGCTCGCTTGCGAGCCCCGACCCCAGGCCTGGCTCCAGGGTGGGGCCCCGGCTGCGCCATGCCGGGCGACGTCACGGTTTTTGTTGTCGTGCTGTCCATGGTTGGCTTCGGACTGCGCTTCGTCTGACTCGTCACTTGAGACCTGTCTGCCATGGGAGACCCTACCAGGGGCATGAAGCCCCAGACAGCATAGCTCCCAGGATCATCCGAGTGCTCAAACTCCCCCACCACGTTAAGGTGGCAGTCCAAGGGGGGAGAAATCAAAACCCACTTGTTCAAAACTACCCACACTTTACGGTTTATTTTAGCTTTCTAGAAATTAATATATTTTTAAAAATTTAAATTTTGTTTTCTTAAGCCTCTTTGAGTGTCCACCCTATGTTTTCTGTGCAAAAATTCAGACAATGTTGCGCAATGCCCTAATGCTTTGCGGGTTACCATCAATCTAATTCACACGGTCAAAATCAGTCATAGAAGAGCCTAATATAAGCTTCCATAAACCTTCAGATGAGTTCAAAATTCAACAAAACCAAAGACTAAAAAGATGTCATCCTTCTTTGTTGATTTTGAAAAGTCAATTTGAGAAAAAGCGCTTATGTTCCCAACATCCTGTTTTGTGTGAACAGTTCTGCAAATGGCCAGCAGATGGCAATCATTTCTATTGTTTTGGTACATTAATATTTATAGTCTATGATTAACAACAATGAGCCTGTTGGTTTGAAGAGTTCTTGTGATTCTTGAGCTTTAAGTTTCCTTCTCAGCCTTCTCATCACGACCACGGCTTGTCGACTGTACTTCATACAGCTTATATGGGACCAAGCCGAAAAGCATTATGGGTAATGTGCAAGTAACTTATTGAGTCACTCCACACACATTGGTGGTAAGTTACTATTCTGACAACATATGCCCTGGTACCGACTGACAGAAGGGGGTTGCCACACAGTTGGTAACAGACACGACACAGACACAGACACAGACTCTGAAATGGGGATGAAGTGTCTTGCCTAAGGACACAGCAACAGTCTCCCATCACAGTTGAATCAGATACCCACTGCTTAAGGCAATCTACTAGATCTCTGTGGTGCGGCAATTACATTATTAATAGCTTTATGTCCTTGTGTTCCAATAAAATCACTATCAGGGTCTCAATATATTTACATCACAGAACTGGAACTGTGAACGCAACTAGATCATTTCAATATCCTTTCTCCTTTTGCATGACTCAACAAATACCGTCAACGATTTATAAGTGAATTATGATGAAATACAATAGCTCCACATTGTTTTTCATTACCGAGTGCTTTCGTGCGGTCTGAAGGAAGAAGACAAAAGATGCAAACGTGTCCCTTCTCTCCATAAGTCATGTGCGATATGTAGAGTGATGGTTACGGTTTGAAGGGGCCATTCGAGAGCCATGATATAAATGTCAACAATGTACTTCCCAAGGACAGTTCAGCCGTTTGAGGCGTCACTCTCTTATCCATCATCGCCGCTCGAATGTCCCTGTGTGCCACACAAGTCTCTCATTTAAATGAAATGTAAAGAACTGCAAGGTCCACTGTACTTTATGCAGATGGCTCAGTTACAGTCAGACAGACGCTCTCACTTCATATTGTGGCAGTGCATTGAACTGTAGGCACTGGTTAGTCTAGCTTCATGTGTTTATGTCAAATATTTAGTTCAGATTTCTTTGACAATTGAAGCAGAGTTTCCTTTATTAAACCGATAATAATCCTATACATGTTGAAGTAGTTTGTACACTGCATACTTACATAACGTAAACTGATTTTATGTTGATTTTTCTTTTTTTAAACAAGCTTTTCTAACAGGACAAGTAAACATTTCTTTTTTCATGGACGGTAGCATTTTCTCTCATTATGCATTCTCTGCTTTCAAGTTACAACCTATTTCCAGCTAATTTTGACCTATTTTTGTCCTTTGTAAAGCCACAATAAGTTACGTTCTGTTGGAGGAAAATCCTACATGTTCCCATCGAAAGACAATGATAAAATTGCACATTTCTCAATTATTTTATATAGTTTTATTACACGGCTCCTCACAGCAGCAGTAGAATGCTCCATTGAATCGAATGTAATTTCAAAACGTTCTACCGGTCATTATTTTTTATAACGGACCTCTCAAAACAATAATGACTCTCTGCTTGTCTTTCAAATGCGTGGATAACTCCGCAAGTAGTTCCGGCCACTCCGGAGCTAGCCACGCTCAATACCTTCAGGGCGGAAGCGGACCCCGACGCGCAGTCGGTACTTATTTTCCGATAATGACCTGCGTAATATACTTAATCCCTTGCTTAATCCATGTTGTGGAAAATCACAGCCAAAGGAACCTTATTTCAGACAGGAGCTGGGATTGTGGAGGATCAAGCCCGCTCACAGATGGACACAATATTTAAATGCCATAAAGGATCAAAGTGAAAAGACATGTATAGTGAAACATATTTTTTCAAATGTTGAATTTCTCATAAATTATTTCCCAACATGAATTAGTCACTTGGGAATGACACCTGTATTGTCATTGTATCAAAACAAGTAAAATTGTACCATGTCAGCTCGGCTTATAATGTGCTTTGTGCTTCAGGGAGTCACTTTTCTGGTGGAGCTGAGTGGACATAAAACAGATGAGTTTCAGGGCGTGTTGTTGTAGAGAAGAGAATTATCTTCATCAAAGACAACATTTTGTCATATCTTTACTCACATTACTCTCCTTTTTCATTTCTATTTACATTTTTATATTTAACCCTTCAGTTCAGTTTTTGTTTTTTGTTTTGTCATCTTTGGTGGTGGTAAATTTGATTTTGTGACTAAAAGTATGGAGGAGTTTTGTAACGTGGACACTTACAGTTGACAGAAAGTAAATTGTCGTATTATTAACAATAACAAATTATATTGTTTAAATGCTAAGGATTAAACGTTTAACCTACTTAAACCATGGTCAAAACACTCACACACTCATAACTCATTAAAAAACATATTTATTCTGTACTTTAAAAATAAAAAAAAGGGATTACACTTCCTGAGACAAGAGCCAGCAAAAGCTCCTTAGCAACGGTTGACCAATGGCTCGTATGTCCATCCATCCATTTTCTACCCTTTAATCCATTTCTGGGTCAGGGGGGTGGCAGTCAGAGATGCCACCCAAGTCTCATAGCACCAGCCCCTCACTGACCCTCTGCAGGTGGTGAGTCCACAGGAGGACGGCTGCTCTCTGAGTGTGAGCATAGCCTTGATCTTTCAGTGGGGGCTTTGGGCAAAGTGGGGTTAAGTGTCTTGCCCAAGGACACAACGACAGCAGTCATCAGTGGGAGTAGGTGGAGAGGGTGCAGAGGTGGGAATTGAACCCACAACCTTCTGGCCTTAAGGCCAATGCTCTACCAACTGAGCTACTGTCGCCCCGTGGCTCGTATGTGTTTATTGTTATTGTATTTCCTGTGTTCTAAATGTTTTATTCTCTGATCTGTTGTTGAGGAATTGACAACTTTGTAAACTCCTTTGAGACGACTGCTGTCACTTAAACATTTAATTAAGTAAATTGAATAAAAAGTGCCAAAGCAACAGGGAAAACCTTTAAGGATGCAGTAAGCGATTTTGTTAGCTTAGCGGTAGCATCAACTCGAAACCACTCCCCCCTCCCCTCGCCTCTCCACCAAACCAAAACAACCGGCACACGTGAGCGCGCATCCATAAGTTACATCATCTATCATCAGTTGAACATGTCATGATGAGCAGAGGAGTCGCGTATCGCGGCTGTGTACACAGCTGCAGAGTCGCGGCTGCTGCTGTCTCTGTGAGGTCTGTGGAGAAGTGTGGAGGACAGTGTAATGTGTTACTGACACTAAATGATCAGACCGATGGGTTGTGTTCGTACATTTACTCTGTACTCAGTCCAAATGCAGCACAGACATTTTGCAGCAGCCGTTACTATTTGATGGCTTGCGCGTATGTTAGTATTTGGGGGTTCACAGGTAGTGCGTACAAAAGGTATTGTTTAAACATTACAGAACTCCACCGCACTGGTGGAGCAGTAAAATCCTCATGTAACAAGCTACGTGTTTGTCCTCATGTCTCTGTGGCTGTTGTGGTCAGACGTGAGACTTTATGAACTGCGTGAAGCGGAGAGACCCGCACACGTGCGGCCGTTATGTGAGATGTCAGTGAAAATTACCTTGTGAATGCACTGCAAGATCTCAGGCGTAAAATTCAGTTATGTTTAGAAAATCCAACTCAGGTGCGCGCACTCGCGAAAAACAGGAAGAGGGTGACGGGGGTAAACGCATCCCATTGGTTCGTTGGGGATAAACGAATCCCATTGGTTTATTTTTATTGGTCCGCTCCAAAATATTATTTATTAATTTTTGGAGACTACAGGCATCTGGTCAGTTCCATTACTATTTGAAAACACATGATAACTTGACTACTTTTAGGGTTTAGGGACGTTTTCCCACAATATAAAAAAAAAAATGCATCTGGAAAAAAAATCACTGACTGCATCTTTAACATAATCGCAGCAGAAGACAGTCACTCACTTCCTGGTTGCGTTTCCAGGGCGACCTGTCACAACTGGGCCGCATGGTGATGCAGGGCGGCTTCAGCGTGTGGATCAGTCACAAACGCGCCGCCGTCAGGATGAAGGAGATGGCGCGGTTCAAACCCATGCAGCGCCACCTGTTCCTCTACGACCACGCCCTGCTCTTCTGCAAACGCCGCGGCGAGGACATGGCCGAGCGCTCGCCCTTCTACAGCTTCAAGTCCTGCCTCAGAGTACGCACACGCACACACAAACACATACACCTAAAGATACACACACGCTCACACATACACACACCACACATTTTAAAACTTAGCTGATTAGGTTAAAAAATACAAAAAAAAAGATAAAGTGGAAGAAAGAGTACTCAGGTCATAGGAGTCAAGGGAGAAAGCAGAGAGAGAGAGTTATAAACCCCTCTTGAATGAACAAGGGTTGGATTCAAAGAGAGACAGAGAGAGGGACACACACACACACACACACACACACAAAGAGAATGAGAGAGACACGCAGAAAGACAGACACACACACAATCACAGAGAAACTGAGAGAGACATATCTTGTCTACGCACAAAAAACATTTGCAACAGCTCTGAGGCCCTGAGCTTTGTGGAGCACTGCTATATACTACACTACAGGAATTCCACTCCAAGCATTTTTAAATGGTCTTTTAACTATTAACAGTATAATTGACCCACATTTTATGATCATAACGAGTCAACCTTGGAATGGTGCTATGGGTGGCGGCACCTCCACACAGAAATGTATTAATACAGGGGAAAATAATGAATGAATGAGTAAGCCTGAGGTCAAATGCATTCAACTCTGTAAATCTGCTTTTTGTACTTTATCTGCTGAATCTATTTCTCCAGATGACGGCAGTGGGCATCACAGAAAACGTCAAAGGCGATGTGAAGAAGTTTGAAATCTGGTACAGCGGCCGTGAAGTGGTTTATATCGTCCAGGTGAAATCTCAACAACAATTTCCTCTTTGTAATTAAATTGTTTTTTTTATTTTCTTTATTTCTCTCTCAATCCCACAAACTGTTCTGTCCCTTTGTCCCTTCAGGCGCCCTCTGTGGAGGTGAAACTGTCTTGGCTCAGAGAGATCCGGAAAATCCTCACAAACCAGAATCGAACCCAAGGTCAGTAACACATATTTGGACCGGTTTCTTTCAACTTTATTATTAGTTTAATTACATTTCTCCATTTCACTGCTAAAAAAACTGAACCATTTTAACCAAAGCAGTTTAATGTTGTATAGGCCTAATTCACAACAGCGGTAATTCGAGGACCAGGGGCCGAATACTTTACAAAGTGCAAACAGGAAATGCAATAATATCACACATTTACGGAGCGGGATGACCAGTGTCCATAAATGTTTATAAAATGCGCGAAGAGGTTCCAGATCATCACTGTCCTTAGACCCTCCTGCATCAGAGAAGAATGGTTGAAATATTATATTGGCTGTGCTAGTACAGTTTAACTTATTAAAATGTCATTCGTTTTCCTCAGACGATTCTTCCCTCTCGGATGCACCTCCCTCAGAAAGGTCAGTACTTCTGCATGTCCCCTTCTTTACCCTGTTTGTTTGTGCTTGGGGCCTCGTACAAAGGGGTGAATCCAACAATAAATCCTGAGTGAATGAAAGAGAATTAATTACAATGGTCAAAAAACAGAACTTAGCCCCTCAAATAACAGACTATACTGTATATTCATATATGAAAGACACCCATTATGCAAAATTGTCTATGTCTAACAGTTTTAAGCATGTCCAAAGTTGTTCCTCATCAAAAACAGACCTGGAGTTGTTTTTATCTCCATGAAAGATACTGGTAACGGCAATAAAAGTACTAAATGCTCCAATCTTAAACTAGAATATGGCGTCATAGACAGAGCCATTTTTTAGCTTTCATATCAAAAGTTTTGACCTTAAAATATTAGTTTTTGTTTTTTCTGTGAATTTATTCATCTTTATTTATTTTTCTGCAAGCTTTCTATTACATTTTAATTGTTGCCTTGTTTTGTTGAAACATGTTTTGACCAGTTGAATACTCAAGGCAAAAACTCAAGTAAATAATAGTAATAATAGAAAATAATAAAAAGTTTTTGTCAGTTGACAAATGATGTTCTTGATAACTGTGTGGCTTTGATTAAACCGTGGCTTGCTATATGTTTGCAAAAATACCCGAAAAAGCTACTTTTCCCCGCAGGCTCTAAAAATAAGTAGCTTCTCAGAAAACATCAGTGTATTCCTGGCCTGTCATACGTGTCACGAGTGCCCTGCAGTTTCCATGATCACATAAGACCAAAATGAGAGAAAATGCAGCGACCCCCCAAAGAGTCCGGAGTCTATTTCCAGAGCCATAATGGATCAGGTGCACGTGATATCGAAGGCCACAGCTTTAGACCATGACTCACTGGACACAGTCATGAAACAATCACATTTCTGCTTTCATCTGGATTGTACCTCTGTTTCCACTTGTAAACTCAACATCCAGTTTTTTTAGATTTTCCCTTTAAACATGATCTTGAAAAAACAAAGACTTTCATATTTTTGAATGTGAAATGATTATTTATCGGGGGTGGTAATCAGAGCTCATAGCACATCCCTCGCTGATCCTCCTGTGGTGGGGAGGCCTCTGAAAGATTACAGTGGGGGCTTCGGGCAAAGTGGGGTTAAGTGTCTTGCCCAAGGAGACAATGACAGCAGTCATCAGTGGGAGCAGATGAAGTTGGTCTTGTGGAGGGGATCGAACCCTCGACTATTAACCACAAAGGTAAATACTCTACCAACTGAGCCACTTAAATGTAAAAAGTTCATTTTGTCTTCATATGTTTAAGAAGACAAAAACCGCATCCCTCACCGCGTTGGGGTTTAGAGACCTCAACGCGGTGAGGGATGCGGTCAGTCTGAGGGGTCTGTGAGATCTGTCAGACTGGCCGCATCCTGTCACGTGGGGCAAACGGCTCGCCCAGACTCCCCTTCCTGAGGGGAGTCTGGGTGAGCCGCCTTGGCGCCAGCGTACGCTTTGCGGCGCTCCCTCTCCTCCCTGGGGAGAGAGAGGCATGCTCTGCAGTCAGCGCTGGTTGCAGAGTGGCTTCAGCGCAGGCAGAGGAAGCACCTGTCATGCTGGTCACCGGAGCGAAGGCGGAGGTTAGGTGCCTCAAGAGTCATACAACAGCTGATAATCACACCATCACGTGTCACCTCTGATGAAGGCGGAAGTGTACTGCCCAAACATGTCAGGTAATTAAGCAGTACTAGCTTTTTTTTTACTTTCTTGTCTTATCAAAAGAACCTTCAAAGTCTTAAACTGAGCCACTGTTGCCCAATGTGAAAAGAAAATAGGATAAAGTAATCATATCATACGCATCATTTAGCTCAGCGGTTTCAGACAGAAACGTGAAACAGAGAAGACCATATCCTCACACACAGGCCTCTTTCCTACAACTGTGCAAAGGAACAACTCATATAGACTGCATGTTTTGATTGTTTGATTGATTTGTTCACAACAATCCTTTCTAATAATAACTAATCAATTTCTAATGATAACTAATAATAATGCATCGGTTTTATATCACGCATTTTTCTGGAAGTAGAAAATCCACCTTTAACTTCAGAGGTCCGACAGAACCTGGCTTTCACATACAGCTACATTTCACATACATTACCCACCAAACAATATTTAAGAAGAAACAATATGTATTATTTATAAGAAGCAAGTGATGTACCCCAGCTTTAAAAGTGTGAAAACTGCTCGGTTCATAACACAATGAGTTTGAAAACAACTTTTAAACGGAGGAGGTGCAGGTCTGTTTTAGATGAAGGAACAGTATTTCTTTGGTACTATCTCTCCATATATTCCAGCTCTGGGGTTTGAGCGGCTGAAATATATGTGCACCTTTTTGATTTCCTGAATGCGTTCTTGTGTGGTGACTTGTTGGACCCAGTTTTTTGTTTCTTTCTTTTTGTTTGTGTTGCTTGTGTGCGTGGCTATTTTGCCGTTGTGGTGAAGTGTGGCACAAGTGTGTGTGTCGTGGGTCGGACCGTCGGGAGGAGGCTGCTCAGCGTGTCTCCATGTCCCTCACAGCTCCACCGCAGGCCACGCCCACCAGACGAGGGGGGAGGAGTCACAGTACACAAGCCCCGCCCTCTCCGACCCCGTAGTGCAGTCGCCCAGACGCAGTGAGTACAAATTACATGTTTGCACACAAAAATCTGAGTTTGTTCAAGAAACGGACTGGATTCTGTCGAGTAGATGAAGCGATGTCACAGTAGTCTTCTTTGATTGTTTGACAGTCAAGTGAGATTTTACATCATTGATAAGATTTTATAATAAATAATAAATGCCTTATGGGTCTAAAGACAGAGTTAGGCAGTCACAGAGGCAATAATCTGCTCTGCCTGAAGTCAGGGAGTGTGGTATACATGTGTGTGTGTTTGTGTAAGTGATTTTTATTTTTTATTAAAGACAACAAAACAGACTAACACGTCAACATTCAACAAGAACACAAAAATAGCAATCACCAAACAAAATCACAAAATAAAACCCTAGTAGATTTTGTGTTTTGTGTGCGTGTGTGTCTAAAGAGAGAGAGAGAGAGAGAGACAGTCTGCTGTTGTGGGTTTGCTCACAACTGAAAGGCCCTGCTTCATAATCCTCAGGACAAACAGTGGATTTTGTATTATATTTATTGTTTTTGTTTCATAATAAAGTATGTTTTTTATCTATCTAGTAATTCATTCGCTGTGTAAAGATGAACCAACAGCTGATTTGGCCTTCCATCCCAAGTGTAAAGACATATTGAGAAACAGTTTTCTACATTTATAGTTGCTCTTGGCCGTGGTGTCAGCCAGGCTCTGGTTGATTTGAGTTCTTGAGAGACCAGTAAATGAGTGGTATACACCTGTTGTTGGGCATTTACATTCTGCTCTGGTCATGGAGGAGTTCATATCAAGGTGAATATTTAGAATCTATTGTCCGGTCTACTGTTCTGAAGAATGAGGAGTATGTATGGACTGTAGATAATTGTTTTAAATATTACATGGTTAGTTTTGTTTTCAAGAATTTTAGACATTAAAAATCTGGTCCAGGGACTAAGTTTAAAGAATGTATCAATATCTAAAGATACATGGACATATTTATGTTATAATCACACATTGTCCCTTTTTAAATAAAAAAACATGATCTTAAATAATGTCATGATCATTAACCCTGACAACTCACCAGAACTTATATTACATTGCAATTGTAACTTGACCTTTTAAACTACTACGGACATTTTCCATGGTAATATAATAATTGTATATACAGTAATTGTAATTCATATTTTACCACCAAAACTAATGAATGCGGTTGGAATGATTTATTATCGCAGTAACTGTAGTGAAGGAGCCACAATCCACATAATGGCCGTAAAGAGGTTTGTGCTCTGGCCTTTGGGACAAACTCTATTTCTTCCGACTCTCTCATCCAATAACATTTTCACCTCCGAAATTAACTGTCTGATTTAAACGCATTTCCTCTAACAAGCTGCAAAGGGACTGTTTCAACACACAATTTGTTTGAGAACAGTAAAACCATTTTGCACTGCAAGTGTTGTAAACTTTTCGTCCTAAACAAGTAGAAGCTTGGTTCTTATATGAATACAAATGTTATGCCTGGTGTGTAGTTGTGGAGTTGTGTTTAGGCTTTAACTCGAAAACTGTTATGCATTATACTATTTATGCATTCAGATTTTGTTCATTTTAATCTGAAATATTGCTCTAATTTAGAAGCATAGATTAGTTTTCATCTAAACTGAGAACTGAACGACCCTGCTTCAGGGTCAATGAACCAGAAATAAACACAGGAGAAAAGTAAAGTATGGTTTATCTCCGTCTCTCAAAAGGCTGGTCCGGGTAGGGCAGGTTTTCATTTCAATTCAATTAATTTTTGTATACCCCTAACATGTAAAAAGAACCTATTTTTTCTCTGTTCCAGGTTGGCCGGTCGCACATTCTGTCGCCATTTGTGAAGGTCTGGAGGACTGGGGCGCCACGGACCTCTCGGCAATATCTGACTCGGATGAAGAGGAACCCACTCCTCTGGTGAGATATAAAACTATGTCGTCATTTCAAATGGGAAATAAGCTACAGTAACTTATCAAAAGGATTAACTTGGCTGACTTGCTCTTAAAGTCGGTTGACGCACATAGGATAATTTTAATGGCAAAGATGAAGATGCAACAGTATTTGATAATTCTACTGCTGGGATAGAAATCTACTGTAAGTTCTACTGCTGTGGCACTAGCCTGGTTGTACCACACCTTAGTACAAATTACATTTCATACTAAGGTCTGGATTTGCTCCATTGAGCTCTGTTTACAGGTGGGAGGGGTTAACTCCTTTTGCAGATTGAAACGATTGGATCTGAGTTTACCGTGACGTATGTAATGCGCCCGAGTCTGTTGTTAGCCTTTAGCCTTTAGCCTAGCCATCTCCTTTGCTGCTAACGGAGCCCGTGGGGAGCAGTGTCACAAGCAGCGCCACAATCTTGACATTTGCTAAACATTCCTCTTGCTCCTGCTTCAATTTCTTGATAGAACCAGACCGGATTACTTTACTATCGCATTCTTCGCCATTGCCAAACTACAACCTGCCCGTTCGGCGCAAACTCTTGACGTCACCAGCACCGACCTACAACACCCGCCTTCCGCGCTCTCTGAGTAGAGAGCACACACATCTGTTTTTCAGATGTGTGTGCAGAGACTCAAATCCACTCCTTCATGGCCTCCAGACTTCACTGCTGCGATTGCCTCCTCTATTGTCTCCCTTCCACTCATCTCCAAACACTGTAATATATCCAGGACTCTGCTGCTCGCCTGCTTGCCTGCTCCAGAGACCACATCACCCCCATCCTCAAAGGACTCCTCTGGCTCCCTGTCTCATACCGCATACAATATAAGGACCTCCTCATCACCTACAAGTCTCTCACCACCTCCTCAATCAGCACTGATCCTTCCCGTCGCCTCAGACCCGTCAACTCCAACCTCCTCAGTCTCATCAGAATAAAGTGCTGAACTTTGAAGGACTGAGCCTTCGCTGTAGCTGCCTCCTCTCTCTGGAACTTACTGCCACAACATTAGGAACTTGGACACTCATTAGAACTTCAAAACACTGCTCAAAACCCACCTATTCAAAACTGCCTACACTTAACAGCCTATTTTAGCTTTTGATTCCTGTTTCTTCTTAACTTCTCCTTTTGTAAAATATAATGTGATATTATTATCATTAGAGTGGATGAGTTATGACTAGTTTCTGTTTTCAACTTACATATAACCCTGTTTTGGATCAGGTGGCCGGGCGGTACAGGGTGATGGTGGAGAGCAGCATGGCAAGCACTGATGACATCATCTTTAATTACGGCGACATCATAGAGCTGCTGCACGAGGAGGTGTCTGGGATGTGGTAAGTCTCGCCCACTCTTCCATCCGTAATTACTATGTCAAGCTCAGCCATAATTGTAATTGAGCCCTTGATACAATTGGCCCTGTTCTCAAGCTCATCCGGCTAGTTCCACTTTCTTTATATGTTCTTTATTTTTAGACTTTTTAATATGTTAATTGCCCATTGAGAATGAGTGGAACAGCTATAGTGAAGATGCACACTTTTGAGGCAGCTGGTGCGAGCCGCGGCGCACTGTGAAAAGGTTCAGCACAATTCAGTTTGTGCTGGAAATGGTTTCAAAGACAAGACATCTGGACACAATAGGATGCGTTCGTGTGGCGTTACAGAATTCCGAAGAGTTTTATCATCGTGGTGGCAGCTGAGTAACTAAAGTATAGACGTGTAAATAGTCAGATTTAGAGAAGAATCAAAATGAAACAAAAAATTTCTTTCGCGCTCACTTTGGAAATTGTGTTAAAAACAAGCCAAAAAAGCAGCCAAACTTGACCCAGTAAACCTGTGTTTTCACTCGACTGGGTTTTACTTTCTCCATTTCTCATATTCCACAGTTCCACATATTATTGACATGTTTTTTCAACTCAGTCCTGTTTGGGTTTTGTAGGATGGTGAAGAACATCAGTCGGGGAGAGGAGGGCCGTGTTTTGCCTGAAGATTTGCACAGGATCCTGGGAGAAAGCTGCTGATCAGAATAAACCCACCACCACCACCTGCTTCTATCCAGAGCCACACTGCAAAACAAAATATCGACACAGTTCAAATGACTTCAAATGAGTAGTTTAGATTTGTTTAGCGAGTTAGCATGAATGTTTGTGAAGGTTTTAAGTCTGGGATTAGTGAGGGCTTTTTCCCCTTTTCCAGTGGAGGGTCCAACCTTAGGTGTGTGTCCGTCTTCTTGCCATTAAAACTTTTCCATTCCATCCGTCACCATGCAAAATACAAGATACAAGAATATATATTTGCCATTTGCAGTAAAACCACATTGGAAAAACTGTGCAAGACTACCCCAGTGTGCACACATCATATCTGCAGAAAGGCAAGTCCGTTTATTGTAAGAATCTGAGTTTTTGAGCCGTGAAAACATTTGTAGTAAGTAATGCTGTCAGATAATATTTACGTCTTTAAAAACCATTTTAAAGTACATTTTATATTTTGAGCGAGTACTGCAAGTATGTATCCCGGCGCAATTAATGTTGATTAAATATTTCAATAATTCCACAACACTAGAAATAAGTAAAACATAGGGCTGGGGAAATTATTGCATAAATTTTCATTTTTATTTCAAGTAGTAAATTGTTACTTGCTTACTCAGGCCTATTCCTTACTTAGTTATAGTAATATAGCATGAAATAAATTATCTTTACTGTATATAAATGGTACATACACTCCATAAGGGCTAAAACAAGGCTCAAACAAACACATCTATTTGAAAATATAATTCAGTATTCTCAGTTCATCTTAAAGGATTTTCTTTTCGGTTTATTACATTAAACCATTTTGAATAATGTTAATTTTCTCAGATTTGTGGATAATAAGTAAATGTTTGGCATCGATTCCAGGACCGAGTAACTATTTATTTACTACAAAATACTGTGCATTCCAAGTAAAGACATTTCATCTCCATGGCAACGGTTGGACCCTGTCAGAGAAGCTGCACAATGCACATTTATACAAGAATAATATTCCAAAAGAAGCAGGGAATTTAGCTGAAAATAAATTTAGAAAAATCAAAATCAATAGAAAATCTCATTTCAAGTTGTTTGATCTTGTGGAGAAATTTCTTTTTCTTTGCGTTGCCCACGAATTCACAGCTGAATGTACTGAACGCCGGAAGCACAAGATCTGTTTAATGATCTTCAGAGGAAAGTTCCACGTTTGTTTTTTATTTATTTGTAAATTCATGAGTTTGAGTCAAATCTGTTTGTGTTTTTCTTTATCAACACCTTTTAAGAACAACTGTGATGTGTTTATTTCTATTGGAGCAAATCTAATTCTATAAAGTAAATTGCAACTTGTGATTTAGAAAATTACATATAACATAAGCCCCATTTCCACCGGCCCTGCTTAGCGGTGGAAATCAGGTACCGTATCCTAGCAACCTACCCACAACAAACCAGTGTTCAGGGATATTCCTTGGTGACCATGGTTTCCAGCAGCACTCTGGCCAATCACTTAACACTTAGAACACTTAAGTACCAGCTTGTCCTAGTTAGAACCAGTTAGAACCAGGTCCAAGCAGATACCAAAAAGGTGCCTGGTACCAGTTAAAAAGCAAGGCCAGTGGAAACGCTCCGAATCAGTGTATAGTAGATTAGAGTAGGGTAGGGCTGGTGGAAATGGGGCTAATGTCAACTTTCATCTGACTATTAAGATACAACATCAATTAAATACAATTACAATTACAACAGACAAAAAAAAAAATCATGAATTCAATAATTTTAATTTCCTTCTTTTGGACAACCCTAGAACTGTCCAAAAAGGCTGCTCTATCTCCCTGCAACTGTCAGTAATTTATCAGCCATTTATTCAGTCACTTTAGTTCATACAGTCCTCATTTCGCAAAAAGGAATACTGTGCATTTTGTAAAAACCACAATGTTGAATGATTTTATTGTTTCTGTGCCAAAAGTTCAGATTCTGGACCTCAGTGTTCCTTCTTCTCAAAGCCAGCTGTCCGCATGTCAGGGTCGAGTTTGGACGTCAGACGAAATAATTGTTTGTTCTCAGCGTTTTGAGTTGAGATTGTTTTGTTTTGTTTAGTGAAAAATGCAAAGTAATGCCTTGAATTTTGTTGCTGCTGCATGGATCTGAGAATGCCTTATTTCTGCTGCTGTTGTTTTGCACTGTAGGGACACATCTCAAAGTATTACCAACAAGAGCCATTCCATCAATGTGAATCGTAGGAAAGATTACTCCATGTTAAAATCTGCAGGTTTAGAAGTCAAGCTGCGTTTCTCTCAATAACTGCCGGGATATTTGAAACTGCCCAGAGAATACAAATCATAAAGAGTGGTCCAATGACACTGCCTCTGTTTGTGCTTAGGGAAAAACATACAACTGTGAATATTTAAAATCATCAATTAACAAAACATAAAGCCTACAGAGCCATATCAATGTACTTTTTAGATCAACTTTAGCTCAACTGTGAATAGTTCTAGTTTTATAGTGTTTCCAACTATTAATATTAGGTCACAAATGACATAATGGCGGCTTGTAAGTTTACTTTGTCGGGCGACTTCATGTGATGTGCACTTAAACCGTTTTTTGCTGCTTCAGCTCATTTTGAACTTGTTCATATGTGGGACCACGGTCCAGTCTGTAATATAATGCAATGTATATGATTATTTTCCCAAATATAAGCACAGAGATAGTTTGAACAACTTTGACTGGTCTCGTTTTTTCAACTTCTGATCTTCAACTTTCACTCTTTATATTTGAATACATAAGGAGTAGTTAAAGCTGGGTTACCTGATTTTATAACGATTACACCATTGTCATTTTTTAATGACAGAAAAGCGAAGTGGAGATAATGCCCCTTGCATGATCCAGCCCAAAAAGTATTATATTGCCTCACAAGGCTTTGTAGCACTACTTTATGTCCCTGCTTAATAGGACATAGCAATTTCACATGGGGTTCATCAATAACAAAACAACTATTGTCACAGAGGGGGCGCCATCAGCCCTCCGACCACCACCGTCATTCACTCACACACCAGACTCATACTCGACAAACTGAAACATCTTGCTTAAGGACACCACGGTTTTGCACTTCAGAGCCGCAGCCGCCCCGCTGTGGGACCTGGTGTTCCCAGAGGTCTCCCATCAGTGCTCCAACCAGGCTTCATAACTTCTGAAGTCTGGCAGGATCAGATTAGGGTTGTGCTTTATCATACCCTGTAGGGAAATTCTCTACATTTGACACATCCTTCACTGCCACTAGGGCCTGTCAGGAGCAGGGGCCTCATCTCCAGATGTTCATGTGGATGTTCATCCCCCAAAGCTCCTCGCAAACACAATGCTGATGGAATGATGAGCACAAACATGAGATGGCAGAGTGATGAATCTACTTTTAAAGGCAGTGAGATTAGTGCTAATCTACGACGGAGCATAGGGCGCACCCAATTTTTTTTTGCCAGACGCTATGAGATTAAAGTCAGAATATTCAGCCTTTTTCCCTCCAGAACCAGCACGACATGAACTACATTTTGAGAATCTCTGTTTATTACATGTTACACTGATAAAATAGGCTTTGAAACTGATAAAACACAGTGTCATGTACTGTATCAGGACTTCACTTTCCGGCTTCTTTCAGTCCTTTTTCCTTTCATCCCAGTTTTGTAGGCGATCCATTTGTAATACTGCGAGATTCTGGTGTAGACGCCGTACTTCCCGTCCCGAGCGCACTCCTCGCCCCAGCTCACGATCCCAGTCAGGAACCAGGTGCCTTTGTAGTTAGTGGCGTGAGGTCCTCCACTGTCGCCCTGACACGAGTCCTTCTGCTCCTGGGCGTAACCTGCAGGTGGATGACAATATTATTAAAATGGTCAATTAATCATTCATATTAATCATGTCGTAACATGATTGTTAGATATTTTTCAAGCTATGTCAAAATATTTCCATTTAACCCTTTAATGTTTTTTGTAGGAGAACTATTAAGAGAAATCGAACCCCTCGTTTGTTTTATTTATAGGCCTTTACCAAATGGTTGGGATGCAGCTTGAGGGTAAAAGTGCCTAAAACCAAGTTGAGAAAAGGATTAAATGGTTAAAGCTGAGGGGCCTAACTTTCAAACTGCAAGTATATAGTCTCTCTAACTAGCTGCTCGCTCTCAAAAAAGCTCGATAGTTTTCTCATGCATGTATTTGAAGGCTCTGTCACAGCTTTAGATCAGCTTTGTCAGACAGAAAAAATTCAAAAGACAGGACCACCCTCACTCAGCTAATCAGCTCTCAGCCCAAAGCATCAATTTGTCACTCACAGGGCTCTTTCTTACAATACAAGAGCTGCTCGGGTTCTTGTTCAAAGACAACTAGGGGTTTCGGCTGCAGATCTGCCAGAATCTTCTGAACTGTATCTCGTCTCGGTGGCGTGGTCAGTCAGGTTGACCACGCCCACTCAGGTAGTGACATCAGCTGATAAATGACACTTCACCAAGACAAGATTATTCATTTAATCATTAAATAAGATACAGTATGTTACGCTGTGTTAGGTTATATACATAATTTTAATATGTTTTGATAAACATTGAACCAGTCCGGCCCTCGGGTTGTATGAAATTTGTTTTTTTTAACCTCTGATGTACTTGACTTTGACATCCCTGTACTGATAAAATGGTTTCCAACAAGACGAAGACATCCTATTACAACATGTATTATCTATGCAAACATGTAATATCTATGCAAACAGATAAATCCCAGTTTTAAGTGTTGATAATTGGGTATTTTCCTCAGAATAATGACTTGTTCCTCACGTACCTGCACAGAACATGAGGCGGGTGATGGATTCTCTGCTGCTCGCCTTACACACCGTCCGGTCGACATACGGCACCTCTAGTTTCTGGAGCCTGGGGGACTCAGGGCCTTGGAACCTCAGTCTTCCCCAGCCAGACACCAGAGAGGCTGGGACTGTCCGCAGGATGGTCTCGGAGAAGGTTCTGGGTCCCAGGCATATGGGGCGTCTTGTTTCGGACAGCAGCACCGGGTCAGACAGCCTCAAGAGGGCGATGTCGTGGTCGTAAGGGGACTTTGTGTAATTGTAGTTTGGGTAGATGAGTTTCTCTGAGACACTGTAGTCCCGCTCTTGGCCCTCGTCTTGGAGAACGTCATGCTCACCTGAAATCAGGAGCATCATATAAGACCCACAGTGGATTTCATGGTTACTCTCAAGTTAACTTTAAGTGGACCAATTAACGTTGAATTTGAGACCCTCCTACCCGCATGGGAGCCTCCTCAGTCCTGGTTCTACATTATCAGTCCTGGATCTACAGCCTCAGTCCTGGATCTACAGCCTCAGTCCTGAATCTACAGCCTCAGTCCTGAATCTTCAGCTTGTTCGTCCGTGGGAGCGGATTCATCTCCCAATATCTCCCCGAGGTTTCTCATATTTTTTCCACTGGGATCCTTGCAGATGCAGGAGGGTTTAATTTGCTATGTTGTATTGTTTCATATATGTTTCATTTACCAATTATTATTAAAAAGAATACTGGATAAAATACTTGATAATTTGTGTTAGTTTCAAATTGTAAGTTGAATCCTCAAATAAATGAACTGCTCAACACTATTCTAAATTTTTGAGTTTCACTTGATGTCAATTGATTACAGGTCATTCTAATTTTCTTATAAGACAATCTCGTGGTTCACTTGTGTTTCTCTCACCGAGTCGCACAAAGAAGTCGTCTCGGATGGTTTTCCCGGCTCTCTTGATGAGGCAGTGAGCAGCGGTGACCACCCAGACCTCACTGAGCAGAGAAGCTCCACAGAACGGCATCGGCCTCAGAATCCCCGCCCTCTGCTCCATCAGCGCCACCTGCAAACACACTGTACAACATGACACCACTGCCACTGACACACGACTACACACACACAACACTGTAGTATTTCAACATGAGCCTAATCAATGTTTTTCCCTCTGCTGTGCACATAATACTGATATATGGATTTTAGGATGTGCATGGTTTGTCCCACTACTACAATCACAGAAGTACATGTACTTTATAAGACCTAGTTCTGAAACTCTTATTCCAAAAAGAAAGGATGACGTTACTGTTACTTTTCTAATATGTTGTGCAAGCTCTCAGTCGTACAGGGATTGGTCAAAACAAGGAAAGGTTGCTCAGCCATCATGTGCACTTCAGTTAGCAGGTTTTCCCCGACGTTTCGTTCTTCATCCAAACAATGAAAACGTTCTTTGGATGAAGAAGGAAACGTCGGGAAAACCTGCTAATTGAAATACAGATAACGGGTGAGCAACCTCTCTTTTATCTATTGATACTGTTAAGTAAAATGTAGTAAAAAAAAAAAAAAAGAACGCTGAAAAATAGTGAAGGCTTCAAAAAGGAAGAAAGATGACTCTGCACTGCTATTGCTCTCGAGAGATTTTTATTCTCACCACACAATGTTTCGGGTCACTACCCTTTATCAGACATCTTTCTTTCTTTTATGTGCGCGTCAAAGTCACTAATGCTTCAAAAAGGCAAATTTTAGCTTGAGAAGCATGTATTGTTTTGGTTCGTGTATTATCTTGTATTGTATAAACATGTTTTGGCTGCAGAGTTTTTGAGCCATCTTCACATACAATAAAGAATCACAAAAATAAAAACAGAAATAGTTCATAATGAATGCTTCTTATATGTATTGTAGTATTGTATTGTATTGTAGACAGAAGATGAAATACTTCCTTGGTTTGAGAATAATTTTATGTGTCCCCTTGTGTCAAAACTACATAATTTTACAATAGTTCAAAATCATTCACAAATACGAGTGGATTTGCATCTGAACTTATTATGTAAAAATCATGGTTAAAATGTCAAAGAGCCTGGCTGATCGTACAGGCAACTAAACAGTAACAGTATTAAAAAGTATGTATTTATCATCTAAAAGTGTCAATTTAGGATCGAAACCACTGACCAAGGTCCAAATACTGTCCACTCGCTGTGTCCCTCATTGTATTTCTCTATAGGGGACAGCAGCCTTCACGTCTCGAGTGTAGATAAGGTGCAGTAACCTATAGCCTCCAGGTAAAAGCTACGTAATTGAATTCAGTCTGTGCTGCAGGAGTTTAAAAATTCACTTGCGAATACAAAGGAGAAAGTTCAATCGAGTCCAGTCCTGTTATATTTTGGTCTCCACATGGACGTAACATTAACTAGTATCCGACCCCTTGTTCACCCATAGTAATAATACAATAGATGATTGTATCTGTGCTCTAAAAGGAAGGTCAGTGAAAGCACAAAGGTCTGGACCATGTCTCCTGTCACTGGGAAATCAAAATTGACAAGTGAAACCGGCTTTAAGTCCAGCTAATGCAATCACAGCCCAATACTGTCTGTGACATCTGAGGCACCATTGTGTATGTCAGGTTTGCACAATCATCAAAGACTACTACTTCATGTTACAATGATAAAAGCAGTCAGAAGACACCACACCAATCTTTGAACACGGTCCCACGATACTTGGAGACCTCTCCATCACCTGGAGTGGGAGAGACTCCTCCTCTGTCTGAGGTCCATAGGGTCAAAAACACAATAACATCGTAGGCTGCTGTTTTTATTGAGTTGAATCAGTTGACGTTTGAGACTCTTGTCTGAAATAGTGTTATTTTGTGGCCGCGACAGCCAAACAAACCCTCCTACTGTGCCTCATTTTAAGACAGTTCAACTCATTTAACTTAACCCTTTACAACTATGTCTGTACACCCCGGGTTTATGTGAGAAACTACCAAAGGAATGACGGGGAAAATGAGCATTCTGACAATATGTTAGAATTTCCAAACTAATGTACACTGAGAATTACTCAGCGATTACCTGCCATGGTATCTGACCGGGCGTGGCCTCGTCCCCTCCCACAATCCTCTGGTCAGCGTTGTGCTGGGCGTTGGGATCAGTCCGATTCGGAGTGGACCACAGTGTGAGATTATCTGAGCTGCTTCCCTCGTTCTCTTCCAAAACTTGCCCCTGATCTCCCTGATAATCTGACGGGACGTCCCTCACGCCGCTGTCGTCGTAGTACTCATAAAACATGGTTAAATTCAGGTCATAATTGTCGTATTGTATTGAGCTGTTTCTCTGCGTGGAGTTTGACGTCCGTGGGGTCAGGATGGATTTAGTTGTGGTGCCGGTTTTGACCAGACCACAGCTAAACGGCTCTGGAGGAAATATAAAGACAATGGTTTATTAAACATTTAGGAGTCAATCACAGTCAACCACAATCAGAGTGGACTCGTGAATAAACAATGGAGCAGATTAAGTATTTATGTTTAAGGCCTAAAGGCGCCAGTGGGGACATGGAAGTGTCAAATGCTGCTGAAGTTGCTAGTTTTGGAGAATCGGGTTGAGCTATAGTGGTCATAGAACAAGCTTCACTCAATATATTGACGGAGCGCCAGAGGAAATATAGAGCCCCACAGTGACAGAGGTCCACTGTTGATAAGGATGTTTATGCATTGTGTTTTTTATTACTATGAAAAAGGAAATGGGAAATGGCCTTTTCAGTTTTGGTCAGGAGTGATCCATCGCAGAGAAAGTTTCAAAAGTAGATGAAAGATGAAGTAGATGAATTGGAAAATAATGTATGTAATGGGAAATGCATTAAAACAGCTTGAACTTTTGGACGTTTTGTCATGTTTATAACCCTAAACATGAAGATTTTTGTAATGTTTTAAGTAACAGTCAACTGTGACGTGAAAGTCTTTGGGGTTCTAAACCTGACAAAATGTGCAAAATTTCAAGCTGTATCTATACTGCTTCAACTGGTGAGTCCTTCATGGTATGGTGTGTGTGTTGGTACTGTTGGTACCTGTGGGGGTGCAGGTCTTCTGGTCGGGGCCCAGCTTGTATCCAGGAGCACAGTGACACTCGACCTGCCACTGCTTCATGTCACAGAAATGAGAACAGCCGCCATTGTCCAACGAACACTGCTGAGCCAACACTGGAAACATGCACGTTATTATTCAGTACCAGCCGCAGTGTAAGTGCCATGTTTATTCTATAAGCTTCTGTGTAAGGGCCATGAAGACCTTTTGTCTGGAGCTTGAGAAGAAAAATACTGCAATCTTACACACGCTGGCACACTTTCTTAATTGGACCATTTTAGATCTCACCAAAATACATTAATTTTGTATAGCTCTAAATCACAACAGTAGTTATCTCTGAGGACTTTACAAATTTGTTGATTCGACAGCACAATGAATTAGCTGATTATTAAAGGTATATAGGAGGATTTTCTACATCAGAGTGAATCATGAAGACTATTGTCAATCATTCTGGGGATATGTGCTCGTCCAACAAGACCAGCGAGTGTTTTCAAAAAGTGAAGAGGGCGGTTCTTTCCTAAAATTTGGGAAAATCATCCTATATACCTTTAAGTAACATTAAAGATGGGATACCTAATGAAAATGAAGATTAAGATTAAGAGATCCTTTATTCTAGCCTGACTCTCCCCAGACCATTGTAGATCGATGCGCTTCTCACATGGGTCTGGGTCTGAGCCATAGCGATTGGATTTCAGAAGGCTGGGCCTTGTAAAAAAAATCCTTGTATGTGATTGGATAAACCACTTGTCCGTTATCTTGAATGGCGTGTTCCTTCAACCACTCACATCGAAGCACACGACTCCCATGGGTTGCCAAATTCCAGCAAGATTTTCCAGCCCAAAACCCGAGAGAATGCCCAAAAAAAAAAAACACCCAGAATGATTTAATTGTGATGATGTAATCAACTTGGGCTATCATGATTCCGTCTATTGTCTTTCTGTTTACCGGCGATCCTGATTGGTCGATTATTTTATGATCTGCTGAAGGAGTTTAGTATGCGCCTGATCACCGACCCTTGTACGTGAAGCGAAACGCCTCTGGTGGAGCATGGCGGAACTACAAGGGTCCGGCGAGAGCCAGGCTACCTTTATTCGTCCCACAGTGGGGAAATTTCAGTGTTGCATCACAAGTTACAGACAGTAGGAATGAGGAGAACACAGCACAGGATTAATTAATAACAACTCTATACTAAAATAAAATACAAATTTTGTTTTTAATTTATTGGCAGCTTTTAAGACACCCAAGGAAGCCACAATAGAATTAAAACAACAATAATAATGAAAAAGAACTTTGCTTTTAACTGCTGTTGATCACATCATGCTATAATCTTCTTAGAAAACAACTTTTGCATATTTGTAAGAATGAGCCTGTGATTTAAATGTCCTTTTTTTTTTATCATATTAGAATATCCTGTTATTATAATGCTGGAAGTGACATGAAGTAGATTTACTAACATCATTTATTGCAATGTACTGTCCATCAACATTATTTCATCACAAACAGCTACACTAAAAGAAATTATACAATAAAAGGTAATAATGACTTCAATCAAGTGGTTTTTTTTATTTATTTGAGTTCATTCTGACTCTTAAAACAAGATTTGCCAATGGGAATCACTATGCTCAAGTGAGATAAATTTTGCCAACTTTTAGAAATGTTGTACTTTTTGCATTGCATTTTATTATAACAGCCCATTTTAGATTGAACCAAGATCCATCTGCTAACCCACTTTTCTTCTTACCGATCTCACAGTTTTTGCCGCTGAAGGAGGGTTTGCACCAGCACGTGTACGAGCTGACTCCGTCCTGACACTTTCCTGCGTTTTGGCAGGGAGGCGGCTCGCACTGGTCTCCATCTGCCCCAGAAACACCAAACAAGTGACTGGATTATGCACCAAGATAATCAAATCAAAAAATGGCCATGTCTCACCAACGTATCTAGCCCAGAACTCCAACTGCAAAACAATAAATGATGAGCAACAGGAAGTGATTAACCACAACAGATGGAATAGGCTCAGTGTCTGACGGAAAAATCCTCATTGTTGTGTTCAATAGGAACATTATTCAAAGCTCAAAACGACTATTTCTGTGTTTTTTCGTTTCGCTTTAAAGGACAACTACTGCATATGTTATAAAATTGAAGGTCAGTCAAAGCAAGCACCAGTCAGACTGCCCCCACTGGTTTCTGAGTGAAATCCTTGACAGACAGCAAAGCGACTGACATCCTGGATCTAAGCTTAAAGAAGCTATACCCGATTTTTTTTCTAAGTAGTTCATAAAAATACTGTTTACTACATACAAGTTGCATCATAATACATAATTTAATTGAAAACTTGAGGTCATTGATTCCACTGTGTATGAAATTCAGGCAGTGAAAAGTGCTGAGTAGAGTCTGAGCGGGACGCTCGTTCTCCTCCGCTCACAGAACGAGCAGCGAACAGCCTGCGTCCTCTAGTCTCTACAGCGCTGCTTAACACCAGGGCTTCGACTTCAAAATTCAAATATAATTCTAAAATAAAAAATATATACATATTTGAACAAATATTAGACAACCCTTATAATTAGAAATGTATTTAATGACTGCAAATAAAATAGTTAGCTCCCAAAGGTTTCACCAGGACGTGCTAGGCAGGTAACAGATAAGCTAGCTAGCTGTTTCATGGTAACTTCCGGGTTTTTCGCGATCGCTTTTTGTCACTTTAAAACAGTATTTTTGTCATGAAAACGTTGACAGCAAATTCTGAAATCGTCCGTGCATGCGTGTTTAGGATGTATATGTGTACGGTATTGTCCGATTGACGTTCAATGGTGTTGATCGATAGATATGTATTTGTTTATTGAGCGTGGCTAGCTCCGTTGGCTTCTCTACACAGACAAGTGTGCAGTTAAACTGCACAATGTAGTGACAGGCGCTGATAGCTTGTTGTACTTGCAGAGTAATGTTAGTATTTTACACACCTGAATTACAAACAGAGATTGCATTGGGACTGCGGTCATTATTGGTTTGAGAGTTCTGTTATCAAGAAAAAATGATTGGAAGAATTACATTCACGTCAATGGAGTGCTGCTGCTGTGAGGAGCTGTATAATAAATTATAATTAAATATTAGAATATATTCTAATGTTTAAATGAATACATTCGGACGCGAAACTAATGGTATTCTTTTACTTATATATTGTGTTAGCAGTGCGTTGCTTTAGTACCATTTCATCAGTGATTGTTGCACAGCTTACAAGTTGTGCTAATGCTAATGTTAGCATATGTATCAGATCGCAAATAAAACTAGGTGGCTCTGTGTTATGAGAGCGTAGGGGAAATGAGAAGCCTGTGAGCGAGTTGGGGGGCGGTGCTAAACATTCAAACATTGCAGAAACGGGTATAGCGCCTTTAATTAAAGGTAAAGAGGATGTTCTACTTCAGGGTGGATCATCAAGACTATTGGTCCTCCCAAGTGTCAACCATTCTGGTGATGCGTGCTCCTCAGGTAAGACCAGAGTTTGGTTGAAAAAGTGGAGAGGGCGGATCTTTCCTGTGCTGGCCTCACTTCACTGGCTCCTTGTCACATTCAGGGTTGACTTTAAGAATCTGATTATTGTAAACATCTAAATGGTTTTACCGTTTTACAGACAGAAGTGTTATCTCTGCATACTGCTGTCAGATCTGTGAGGTCAGAAAAACAGTTTTTGTTTAACGTGCCCAGATCTCATCTCAAAATTCAAGGAGACCGGACTTTTGCTGTTGCTGCTGCCCCCAAACTGTGGAATATAGTTTACCCCTGTAGCAGGTCCTTCATTGGAGGTTTACAGTCAAACAGTTTCTTTTAAACCCCAAATGAGTTTTACTGTATTACATTTTACATGTATTAGTGTGTATTTAATGCTGTTTTCTTTTCCTTTTTTTTCTTTTGTGCCTGTGAAGCACTTTGGGCAGCTGGTGTTGTAAATTTGCTATACAAATCTGACATTGACATTGGCATTGACAGGCCCCTCATCATTGGTATAACTTATCTCCTCCAGAAAATCTTACTGGGGCGCTTATTCCAATAGGAGGAAATGTTAGTATCTTTGAGTGACACAGAGAGTATGAGAGTATTGGATGTAACTCACAGTTTTCTGTTCATCTTCGAACCACTCCCGGGCCTCCTCCATGTTGCACTGCTCCTCTAGGCACTCGCGCTCCAGACTGTCCTTCTGTAGAACCTCTTCAAGATGGCCGCTGTTGTAGCGGCGAGGTCGAGACAGGACTTCGTTGGCCGTTTGCGGAGACACGAAGACGAACTCTTCAAAGGACAAAAACTCATGTTAAAGCTGGGGTACCTAATTATCAAAAAAACATGCACACAATAACATTTATCTTGCTAATTTTCAACCCTCAAAAAGATCATTAGAAGTATCTCTTTGTAATATAGATAACCCCCCAAAAATAGATGAAAAGTGTGTAATGAATCATGTAAATGTTTCACAAATAAATTAACCTTAGAACTATAATTCACCAGTAAATATGGCCTCTCTCACATCTTTAGATCATCTTTTAGACAGAAAAGTGAAAAAGAAAGGACCACCCTCACTCAGCCAATCAGCTCTCACCCCAAAGTAGTGACTCACAAGGTTCTTTCTTACAAGTATATATGTTTTCTAACAAGACAAAGACAGCATGTTGTGAGAATTGTATGCATTTATCAGAAGCAGAGAAGTCAGATACCCCAGCTTTAAAGCATGGACAGCAGCCAAATACAGTTTTAGACACTAATGTAATCAAGTTACATACTGTGGCTTTATATACATTTTAATATCTGCTATAGTTATAAATAGATTTTGAAAAAGTAGATAATCTTATTTGAGCGCAACTACAAGGACACCGAAAGAACACCCACTCAAAGAACTATGGACCTTAATGCTCACAGTTTTAGAGCAGTATTGAACTTGTTTGACACCATAACAAATACGTTTTTGTTATAATATGTTACTTTTGAACATTTTTGAAAGGACTCTATCTATGTAGCCCTCGATAAAAGCAGTGACACAGTAAGATTCAATCACCGCCTACATGTAATGATTGTATTGAGAAAGATTTCCCAGAATCCTTCTCTCAAACCCAACAGATGAGAGACATTTATACAACATTTTAGACTTTAGACGTTGATAACCCCGCTCCCTCTGCACCAATGGCTCCTATTTGTTTGTTATTAGTGTATTTCCTGTTTGATTCTCTGATCCTTTGCTGTGATTAAGTCTGTATACAAAAATAAATTGAATTGGGATGACCACTATACCTGCGTTGGTCTGTGTGATTTCTTCTCCTTTAACACAGAGATCCAGAAGCAAAGCAGCGACACACAGCTGTAAATAAACAGAGGCCATCTTCATCACATTTGTGCCTCGAATGTTTCAAACCAGACAGAGAATCAGGTTCCAAAGTGCAGTTGGTGTTTACCCTCCCGCTGATGTGACGCGAGGCAAAATCAACAAACATAAAACTGCTATTGTGAGAAGAAAGTGTGGTGTTGTTATTAATAATCGCAGCTGTTTACGGTCTTAGCTGCTAACAATATTAGTGTGAATAAATGTACTCAGTGTTACCCAGAATACAGACTGATGATGGTAAATCAATGACAGCGTGTGAGAGGAGGAAACCCAGGGGACTGAAAGAACTCACACTCAATCTTCCATTATTAAATCAATCAATGGCCTTGTCATTTGGGGGTCATTTTGAGAAATGATTATGTTATTAATAAGATTAAAAACTTGTGAAATCATTTAAGTTGAAGAGAAATTATCGCCATGGACACAGGTGATTTGAGATGTAACCACAATATAATCGCTGTAGGTACTAATGTGTGTGTTTACGTGTGTCTGTGTGTGCCTCTCTGTGTGTAAAGTGTGGGTGTATGTACATGTGCGTGCGTGTGTGTGTGTGTCTGCTTTTTGTTTGTGTGTATCTTTGTGTGCATATGGGTGTGTGTGCCTGTGTATGAGTGTGTCTTTGTGTGTGTCTGTGTATGTGTGCGTGTGTATGGATTATGTCTGTGCATGTGAGTGCGTGTGCGTCTGTGTGCGTGTATGAATGTGTGCATGTGCGTCACTGTGTGTGTGAGTGCGTGTGCGTCTGTGTGTGTGTGCGTCTGTGTGTGTGTGTGCGTCTGTGTGTGTGCGTGTATGTGTATGTGCGTTTGAGCACGTCTCAGTGTGTGTGAGTGCGTCTATGAGTGTGTGTCTTTGTGTATGTGTGCATATGCCTGTGTCCTTGCGTGTATATGTGTGTGAGGACATGTCTGCGTGTGTGTGTGTGTGTGTGTGTGTGTGTGTGTGTGTGTGTGTGTGGTGCGTGTGTACTTGTTTTCAACTACTGGTGGGTTCCATAACCTGAGATTTCACTCACGTCATTGGGACTGGTTTTACGTTGTGGGGCCCAAACACCGGACCCCACTGGTCCAAGCTTAAAAATCAATGGTTAATGTTTTTCCAACGGTCCTTATGCAGTCTCTGTAAAAATATGGAAAGGACCCCTGGAAGTTTATGTTCTTGAAAAAAGTGTGTTATGTGTCTAAACCCTGGTGGTGGATTGCGGGATATCAAGGAGGGGCACACTGGGGCAATTTCAGTCCGGCAGGCTGGAGCCAGACATGGAGCAGCACAACAGAGGAAGTCAGGTGTCTCTGTGTGTGCGTGTGTGTGTGTTTGTGTGTAGGTGGGTGTGTGTGTTTATGTGTGTGTGTGCATCTATGTGTGTGCGTGCACTTGTTTTCAACTCCTGGTGGGTTCCATAACCTGAGATTCCACTCACGTCATGGGGACTGGTTTTACGTGGTGGGGCCCGAACACCGGACCCCACTGGTCCAAGCTTAATAATCAATGGGTAATGCTTTTCTAACGGTCCTTATGCAGTCTCTGTAAAAATATGGAAAGGACCCCTGGAGGTTTACTTTCCTGAAAAAAGTGTGTTATGTGTCGTAACCCTGGTGGTGGGTTGCGGGATATCAAGGAGGGGCACACTGGGGCAATTTCAGTCCAGCAGGCTGGAGCCAATCATGGAGCAGCACAACAGAGGAAATCAGGTGTCAGGCTAGAAAAAGGTGCAAGTGTGTGGTTCATTAGGCTGCAAGAAATCATGGAGTAGCACACTGAAGCGCACGCTTACAAACCACTGGTAAGTGCTGACTACAAGTCATGACTTCAAATTGTTATATAGAATGATTACAAATTATTTGTTGTTTGTGCAGCTTAGTCAAGAGTCCCTAATTGATGAAGTCGACTCAGATTCTGACGATTTAACTGTCAAGAAGAAACCTGTAAAAAAGTATGGAAAAAGAAAAATCAAAAACACTTTTCTTCAAGACTCGGAAAGTGACGAACCAAAGGCAAATAAGATTGTTATCATGCAGCTGCAAAAGAAGAAAAATGGGGGGCGAGTATACAGCAAGAGACACTTCTGCCTCTACTGTTCAATGTCCTGCCACAAAATGTCCCGTCATTTGACTAGAAAACATGGAAATGAAAGTGACGTAGCCAGAGCATTGGCTCTACCTGTGAAATCTAAAGCACGTAAACTTCAGTTTGATTTGATCAGGAATAGTGGAAACCGTGAGCACAATTTTGAGGTTTTAAAGGCCGGCATTGGAACTTTAGTCCCAGCTAAACAGCCAAATTCCCCAGTTAAATCCAGTGAGTTTTTGCACTGTATAGACTGTGGGGCATTGCTTAAGCGAAAGTCGCTGTGGAGGCATGTGGCCAGGTGCCGGCTTTCACAGAAAGATGCCCAGGCTAAACCAGGTAGAAGTAGGGTCCAGTCCCTCTGCTCCCTAGCCCAGCCTGTACCGGAGGGCATCAGCAAAAAGCTGTGGTCTTTAATTTCGGCAATGCATCAGGATGAGGTCACGGGTGTTGTCAAAGCAGAAAAGGGGATTCTGAGACTCGGAGAGCACCTGTACTTAAAACACGGGCATGATAAGACAAAGCATGATTACATTAGGCAGAAAATGAGAGAAGTCGGTAGGTTAATTAACGAAGCAAAAACCGCAGGGAAACTGAAAACAATTAAGGATTTCTTTATTCCTTCCAACTTTAACCATGTGATTGATGCAGTCAGGTCTGTGGCTGGATATGATGAGGAAACAAATCAATACAAGACTCCATCCTTGGCCCTCAAACTCGGCCATAGCCTCAGAAAGCTAGCAGATATTCTTGAATGTGACTCAAAAATGGAGCATTGTGTTGATGAACTATTTATTAAAAACCTCCAACGAAGCCGGCTGCTTTTTGAGAAGAGGTGGGACGTCTGTGTTTCTTCTGCTGCCCTACAGACCCTCCGGCAAGCCAAGTGGAACACTCCGGACCTGCTCCCTCTGACTGAGGACGTTAGAGCCATGCATGCACATATTGAGGTATGTCGACCTGAATATGTGCAAACCCTAATAAGTGAGCCAACGTCTAAGCATTGGTCTAAACTGGCAGTTTTGACTCTTTGTGAGGTCATCATTTTCAATCGAAGAAGGGAAGGTGAGGTTTCAAAGATGCCACTGACAGCCTTTACCTTAAGAAGTAAGACTGGGATCCATTCTGACATTGCTCTGGGACTGTCCCAACTTGAGAAAAAGCTGTGTCAGCATTTTCAACGCATTGAAATTAAAGGGAAAAGAAGTCGGAAAGTGCCGGTTCTTTTGACTCCTGAAATGATTGCTTCGATGGAGGTGCTGGTGGAGAACAGAAGGGCCTGTTCCATCTCTGACCATAACCCATACTTCTTTTCCCGCCCGGGCGCAGACACCCACATCAGGGGATCAGACTCCCTACGCCAGGTAGCCAAAGAATGTGGTGCGGTGCATCCAGAGATGCTATCCTCAACCAAACTTAGAAAGCACATAGCTACTATGTCTACAGTTCTCAATATGAAAGAGAATGAGATGGACATACTTGCCAACTTCCTCGGCCATGACATTCGCATCCACAGGCAATATTACAGACTACCAGAGGGGACACTGGAGCTGGGCCAAAATCAGCAAAGTGTTGATGGCCATGGAGCAGGGAAGAGTGACGGAATTCGAAGGAAAGAGCCTCGACCAGATACAAATTGAGCCTGAAGGTAATTCTTGATATTATTAAAATATGTATGATTTTTTTCCCCTAAAGGCCACTTGTATTTTTATTTTCTGTGCGACAGGGAGAGCAGTAGAGATCCTCTCACAAACGGACGGGCTAAAAGAAACTTCAAGCGGAGAACCTTCAACCATTCATCCAGATGCACCCCATGGTAGTGGCAGTGCCCCTTCTGGTAAGTGTACCAGGTGGGGGATTACAGCCAGGCTGCTTGGTCCTCACCCTGGGAGTGTATATTGCTAATATATTTTTATTTCTCTCCCTAGAACGTGTAAGAAAGCCATGGTCTGCATCTGAGGTGAAGGCTGTGGGAGAAGACCATGACACCTTTCATACAGACTGGAAAGGTCCCTGGGAAGTCTCACTGCCTGGCCTGCATTAATGCCTCACCAGATGACCTTAGACATCGGACATGGAGTGGCATTAAATTCTATGTCAAAAATAGAATCACTGCAATTCGAAAACAAAATCTAAAATAAAATTCCTTTAAAATAGTTGTTTGGTTTCTATTGACTGTTTTGTATTACTTAAAGTCTTGGTAAAAAAAGATTATGTCTATGGGTCCCATTCTGAACGGCCCTGTCAAAGGGACCCACCAGGTAACAAAAACGTGTATGTGTGTGCATGTGTGTGCACTATATTACCAGCTGTTTCTCATGTTGTTTGTCGTCATAGTGGTTTTATCAGATAAGCAGCTTAAGGAAAAGAAACACATTTCACGTAAATATGGCACAAATTCTACCCATAATTACACAACTCAACCTTCAGGATTATTCATGAAACACAACATTAGGACAACTCTTACATAACACCCATCCAAGAGAAAAGCTCATACCCTTTCTGTATCCACTGGGCTCTCTTACTTAAGGATTTGTAATTATTGTGTTAAAAATAGCAGGGTGACATTTGGCAGAAAATGTGGCCATTCATAATCTGCTAAAGGTTAATTTGAATGCACCACTTAAACGAACGCATGACTTAAGACGGAGCCAGAGAAATCTATTCAATTCTTTTCCACTTGAATACAACTGGAATAGGAACATTTAAACATGATATAGGTTTTAGACGGAAACACTGTACTCATTCTTTGTTCAAACTCCTCTTAGAGTTTGTTTAAAGGGGTGTCTTAAAGAAACTGACACTGACACATTGATAATAAATATGTTATTATCAATGTGTCAGTGGCAGGAAGTAGATTAAAGATGGATGCTTCTGCCGGTTGTACAGGAATAATCCATGGCATCAGTGGATCGTTCATAAAAATCTTCATGCATTTTGAATCTCAATGTTGATCTAAAACAAAGTTATGAAAGAAACACTCCGCTAAGACCACAGAGGAAGTTCACTCATATTGCCTAGAGTGTGTGTGTGTGTGTGTGT